CTTTTACTACCAACATGGACGGACGTCCTGTGTGTTTGTGCGTAGGTGCAGTACTGTACAGTACGTACTGCACCTAGCCGAGTGACTGTGCCGGTTGTCGGACGAGGACGGGTCTTGGGGAACGGCGATGGCGATGGCGATGACGATGGCAGGGGATAAACTGACGTGCCCGCCGCTTTTCGCATCATCAACCTCCTCCTCTTCCTGAGCCGTCATGCCCTCCCCTAACGCGTCGACGCAGCGAGCGCCCGGGGACAAAAAAAAAAAAAAAGAACGACCTCTTGTTTCCCATTTCGTCAGGCCGTGCATGCGGCGTCTCTGCAGTGCGTCGCGCGCACATGTATGTATGGGGTTGTATGCAAGGTAGTTACAATATGTGCTTACAGTACTTGGTACTATCACAGTATTGATAGTGGCGAGAGAGTGCGGCATGTCTGTCTGGACTCTGCATGTAGGTACTCCGTACATCTGCATGCTGATGTCTGCAAGGCTGCGTGCGGGCCCGGACAATGGGCGCCGCCACTCCGGCTCTCTCTCTGTGTCTCGCTAACAATGCTTCTTCGTTTCTTCTTTCTTGTCTTCGCCGACGCCGCATTACCGTATGTGGTAGAACCCCTGCGGAAATGTATGCGCGCAGACAATTCTTTTTCTCTTAGCTGCAATTACTCTACAACATCTTCCTCACCGTCTCTTTGTGTTGTCTTCCCCCTTGACCGCGACTTTCCCCAATATCGAACATGCATGCGCGTCCGGTTACTAAGTAAAGCAACTCAAAACGCGGCCGCGCCTCATCGAAGACAAAGGTACTGTACTTACTGCGAACGAGAGACGCACGGCTTGTTGGTCGTGAGCTGCTACTGTACTGTACCTGCGGCATGGATTTCTTACGTGAGGGTAAGGCGCGGGACCGACGGTTCCAGCTTATCCCCGGTGATGGGTACGGAGTACGTTACGTGCTGAGTACGGACGCGCACGCGAGAGGCCTGCGCTGTGGCCCCGTGGCCCGCCGATGAGGACGACGTCTTGGCCCGTGTGACTGCATGCGTGTTTGCATGTACGAAGACCCAGTGCCGTATGTATGTGTGTATCGACGCAGGCATGCACTGCGGACCACCGCCGCCTGTTGGTCCTGTTGGTCCCCGCGAAGGAGCTGCTGCCTGGGCGCACGTGAGGAAGGCTGGCGTTGTACGACCGTGATGCCGTTCCTGGCAGACCTTCGCGTTGGACCGAAGCCGGGCGCGCTTTCATGGATATCCGTCCTGCTTGCTGCATTGACGCTCTTTGTCACGGCGGGGCCATGGATGTGCCTCCGGTTATGCCCGTCGACGGAGCACTGGGTATTCCTTATTCTCCCCCCCAAGCACTTCGTGATACCAAGTAAAGTCAACCGCTCGATGCTGGGCCATGGCAGAGGAGGCGGTCGACGCGGGCGAGACTCGCGCATGCATCACCAACCGGGGCGCGTGCATGCAGACTGTTGGGTCGATCTGTGGGACGCATGATCGAACCGTCGTGGAACAACCGCTTGTACATGCTCATTCTCAAAGTACTCGTACATGCCATGCCGTGCCAGGACGCGAATCGCCATGCTGCAACATGCGCTTTACTTCTTCTTCCCACCCTCGCCTGGCGGGTTATACTTTTCTTTCCAGATCCTGCCAAACGGACCCGTCAGTACTGTACCAGCGCACGAGTATAGGGACGGTGTCAAGGTACGCGCCCCTCACTGCCCCGAGGGGCTTCAGCAGGGGTATCTCGGGAGCACAAGAGACTTACCAAGTGTTACCCAGAGTCTTGTTTCCCGCCTTCTCCGCCAGCCGGTAGTATTTTGCCGCCGCAAACTGTCCATCAGTCAGCCTCACATGAACAAAGCAACGGCTCATGTGGACAAAGCAACAGCCGGCGAGCCGCCACCCTGCGGGGCGCATGGTGCAGGAACGAGCGCTGCTTTCCTCGAGGCCCAACATGCGCACAGTCGGGCAGCAACAAGCAACTGAGGCGCCGGCGCGCATGACGTGCGGCATCCCTCAGCCAGTCGGCCACCCATTGCAAGCTGCTACGGCCGCTGCGGATGTGTCACGGCTGATCGGGGTTGGATGGAGCAGACGACGGGGCGGGCCTTACCTTGTCCTTCTTGCAGCCGAAGCCCTCCAGATAACACCAGGCGACCTCGTTCATAGCGTCTGGCAGTGGTCAGTCAGCTCAGCCCCTGGCCCCCAATACACGATTCACACCACTCACCGGTGTCGCCAAGGTTCGCTGCGGTTTCATAGTACTGAAGGGTGCTACTGTCAGCGCCAGCCACGAATGCCTCGAGCCCGAAAGGCGCTCACCTGTTTCGCCGCTATCGGATCCTTGGGTATGCCCCATCCGTGACGGAAACAGTTGGCCAGCTCGAATATGGCCAGGACCAACTCCCCTTTGGCCGCGCCTCCCTTCTTAAGGCCCGCCTGGAGCGCCATCTGCTCGACGGCCGCTGAGTTGGATGCCGCCGCCGAAAGGTAGCGGACAGCCCCTTCGGGATCTGGTTCGCATCCCCAGCCGTGTCTGCGAGTCGAACCCGTGAGCGGACCGTTCCAATCACCAAGAGGCTGGGTGCGAAGGGGATGCAACTCACCTCAGCGCGAGCCCGTACAGCACCTGGCTCAGCGGGTTATTTGCCCCTTGCGGATCCGCGAGCCTTGCGAACAGGACCGTCGACTTCTCCAGGTGCCCGGCCTCGTGGAGCTGAATCGCCTCCTGGATGTCCTGGTCGATCTTCTTGGACGACACTGACCTCCCGCGTTGCCGACTCTCAAGGGACATGTCGGCCATCCTGCCCTCGGGCCCGGGAGACGCAGGGCGGCTTCTCGCCAGCTCATTCTGGCCAGCCAATATCGTCGCACGCTTTTCCCACTGCGACTCGGCGCCTTCCTTGTCCTGCGGGTCGGCGGCGATGTCGGGGAGGTTGGTGGGGACATTCTCCGACGACTCTGGCTGCCGTTTGAGGTGCAGGCGGTGCGAGAGGCGACGCTTGGTCGTCGATGAGGACTGGTGACTGGTCTGTGACGAGACGGACGCACTGCGAGAGCGGTGGAAAACGTCTAGACTCCGTCGCGGCGACCTCCCGCCCGACGGAGATGCCGACGCAGGGGCGGACAGGTACAAGTTGTCGTTTGCCCCGTCGCCCGGAGGGTGTAGGACCTCCTGCGAGACGGTGTCAGTCCGTATAAAGGTAAACTCGGGCCCGCCGAGTCCGCGATCAGCCTCCTCTGCCTGCGGCCTCTCGGCCAGCTCTTCCCTCTTCTTAATCAGGTCGCGCAAGCCCATGATGTCTGTGATGCAGGTGGGGCGGCTCGCTGAAAGGCCCTATGCGCGGATTGACACGGCACGAGTCTGCCTGCTCAACGCGGATCGTCTGTTATTTGGTGTCGTCTTTTGACGCGCCGCCGTTCCCATAACCCCAGCTTGTATATATCCTATCCTTTGCGCGCGACGGGCGGTGCGACTCGCGGCTCGGCACCGCAGGCGGCAGGGCGAATCCAGCCAAATCGCTTACGACGAGTGGCTGAGGCGAGGGCGGCAGTGCACCGACGCAACCACGGGTCGCATCCAACGCAAGGCTGTGATCAAACACGGCGGCTGGAAAGCGAGGGCCAATCTCGTGGACATGCGATTCGCCTCGTCGCGTGGCGCCTGGCTCCTCCTCTCACTCTTCGGTGCAGTTTGTGCCGCCTGGTGTAGAAGACGTCTTTTGCTTCAGGCTTGCAGGCAGGGGAGCTGGCGGCCGTTTACCGTTGGCGGGTGCCGTTTGTGGCGATGAGCACGAAACGCGTGATGGCGGGGGAGGGGTCCAAGAAGGGGGGCCGACGTTGGCGAGCGTGCATTCATGGCGGCGGAGGGGCGGGAGAAGCTTGACGACTCCAGCGTCAGCAATGAGGAGTCTCATCCGCAGGGCACCGAGTGGGCTGGGCTGGGCAGGGCAGGGCAGTCAGTACGATGGGGAGCAGCTTCCACGGGGGGATGGAACCGGCGCTGGAAAGACTGGAAGGACCGCCACATGGTGCCTGCCTCCACTGTCAGTGGTGGCTTCCCAAGCAAGGAAGCGGCGCAGCTGGGCTCTCCCTCCAATAGCATCTTGAGCATCTTCCAACGGACAGGGCACGCGCGAGACGCAGACGGGCGAGAGCACCTCAGGCAGGGGGGACGGGGACCTCGGGGCATTGCGTAGCGCCCGTCCCCAGCCCATGCTGGCGCTAACAGCAGCCTGCACACACTTCCAGTTGACGCGCCACCAAAATAGAAGCAGAGCACTCTCACCAGCCCTGCCTGCTTCATGGCTGTGTTCTGCCACTCTCCAGCCCTCCTCTCATCTGCATCGTGACGGCACCGGCGATCGTGAAAGTGAGGTCGTAATGATGGGACGGGAACATGGAAACGACGCCGGGTCACGGTACAGACTTACACACCGCCGAGTGGCATCGAAAATTAGTTCCTGCGGTGCAGATAAAATACGCAGGGACACATACACAGTGACAAGTCACGTCTTCATGTTTTCCGTTACTCTTCGTATTTTCTTCATTCGGCTATGATACCGCTATCTTTTCTTCTTCATTTCTTTGTTTCTTCATCTTTCCTCGTCTCACGAGTCCTCTTGCCGTTCACTCAACGCCTTCTATGGCGTCATGGCAAAAGGGGCACGCACGTAGTGGAGAGCTAGCAAGCTCCGGCCGGAGCAGTCAGCGTCTCATCGTGCATCGTCGGTTCCTCCGCCGTCAAGCAGTCCTATGCCTGTTCAAGGGAGGACAGTGGGTATCGCCGTGCAGAAAGAAATCAACGCACAACAAACATGTCTAGATGGGCAGGAAGTCCTTGGGGTTCTCATAGTCCGAGTCGTCCGAGTCGGCCTCGATAAACTCGGCCACGTCGTCTGAATCGACGTCGTCCAAGTCTACCGAGCCGTCGTCGCTAGACACGTCGTCCATGTCTTGGTCCGCCCCGGCTGCGTTGCCTCGAAGGACGCTTGCCCTCTCGCGGTGCGGTAGCTTGCATCCCTTGTTCTTACACACGCCCGTGTTGCTGAAGTCAGGGCATTCGAAGACGTGCCGCTCGCCGCACTCGGCTCCCTTGTCGCAGTAGCCGCAGAAGCCAAACGCCTCGCACACGGGCGCAGTGGGAGCTGCTTTGGAGTGAGTAAACACGCAATCGGGCTTGGCACAGTAGCCCTTGGCATAATGCAGGCAGTTGGGCACTCGTTCCGGGGTCAGCTCATGGGAGAGGTCGCACGACTCGCCGTTGGCGCACTTCCCGTCCTTGAGAAAGTCCTTGCACACGGCGACCTTGTGCGGGTCGTGTATGAACCGACACGATGGGCCCTTGGGGCATGAACCTGTAACGTCAGTCAGTCGTGGCCCGTACACACCGTAACATCCGTGATTTCGAGGGATTGCCCGGTCCAAGCTTGTCATGTAATATTTACCAGTCGAAGAGAAGATCCTGCACGGCACGTCGATCTTCTTGACGCCGCCGGATCGCCTGCCAACAGTCAGCCAATCGCCCGCCCGGGGGACTGGGACATACCGATGGTCCTGCACCACGCGGTTGGCGACGAGATTGCCTGTCTTGGTCCGATGGAATACGACACCGGCAATCGTGGTAGTCTTGGGCGTTTCGATCGAGGCGGTGGAGTCGTCTTTGTCCATGTCAGCGCCGCGGTTACTAGTCGTCATCCATCGTGGCGTACGTTTTATCCTTGCCAGCTTCTTTCCTCCGTCCATGACGCGGAACCGCAGCCCGGCAATGGTAAGCTCATTTCTGGCATCCTGGGGTGATGGGTTAGATACGGCAGATGACGAAACCTGCTGCAGCATGAAGTCGTTGAACCGCATCTTCTCCTTGTATCGGTGATTTCGCATCTTGCGCTGGCGCGTCTCTTCGATGGCCTTGACCCGGTTCTGTGCTTCTTTCTCGTACACGTTCGCGTTGATGAGCTGGCGGTGCCGGTCGTTTCTCGTCACCCAGGCTGTCGAACCATCGGGGGTGACGCTGCCGCTGGGGGTGCTGGCCTCGGTGCCAGGCCGCGAGTTGTTCAGATGAAGAGTGCGATGGCGGTGTGGTGCCGGTGCGCCCCGTCCTCGTCCACCTCTATAGCCGCCACGCGAGTAAGCGTACGGGGCGGCTGAGTGTCGATATTGATTATCTGAATAGTGTGAGCGGCGTCGGTAGGGCCCGGGCATGTAGGTCTCACGCCGTGTCGGTGCCGGGTGCATGCTCTGTGCTTGGCCAGATCCAGTTTGTTGATTCTTGTGCCGGTTGATTTGTCCTGTGTTCCTGGGAGTGAGTGGCGAGACGTGCAAACGCGTCGAGCTGATGCACGTACCGGCGAGCTGGCCGATGCGAGCCAGAAGCTCCTTGTCTTCTTCCGACATTCCGTATGCTCTTGAGGGTATCTGAATGCAAAAGACGGAAAAACAAGGGATGCGACGAATGCTTCGCGGGTGAGCGTTTGGCGAAGCAAAGAACGGAGTTGGGAGGTTGAAAGGTTGAGGCGGATGCAAGGCCGCTGGAACGAACCACCCAGAAGTTAGAACAAGGCGCTGAACGCTGAGTCAGCGCCGATCTGCCAGCTGCCAGAACCATGCGCCAGTCGATGGACGGTTGCCGTTTGCACAGCGTCAACTACATTCGCAATCTTCCCGCACACAGCCTCTCCAATTTACCCGCTCTCGCAAGATCGTTGCCTACGACTGTCGAATCCCTCCACGCCAATCCTACGTCCCACAAGGACGACTCACACGACGCCCTCGGACGCCAAGTTTTGGGCCCAACCATGGCGTCCTGGGAGCTCCTCGACGAGCGAAGCGAATCTGAGCTCCACAAGACCCGATTGCTCAATGTCGAAGAGAAACCATTCAAGCGAATCACGAAGCGACTTGGCGCCATCTCGTCGGCTGTTTCGAGCGCGGGCGAAGCTCGCAATGGCGCTGAGCCTACGTCGGCCCTTCTCACCAGCGATTCTCTACGCGAGGACCTGACCTTCGACTTTGCCGCCTTCGACAGCAGCATCGCTCGGTTCCAGTTCTTACACGATGCGAATCAGCGGGAACGGGAACGATACGAGGCGGACAAGCAGCAGATCCTAGCCGAGTGCCAGGAGGTGCGAGGCAGCAACGGGCAGCTGCGGGAACAGCTCGAGGCAGCACGCGCAACGCTGGCGCAGCGCAAAAAGTTTGACGAGCTGGCGGAGAAGATAACCTCGAACCGGCTGCTGCGGCCGCGCGAGGACCAGCGCGTCAACCTGGCCAAGCTGGAGGACGAGTGCCGCGACCTCGAGCGTGAGAGCGAGACGTACAGCGCGACGTGGCGTGAGCGACGCGACCAGTTCAACAAGATCATGGAGGAGGGCATGATGCTGCGGCGACAGATCCGCGACGAGAAGGAAGAAGTCGACCGGCGGGAAGGCATGAATGAGGGAGGCGAGGACGATGCGGACGCCGGCAAGGAGGACAAGGAAGGCCAGACGCCCAAGAACGCACCCAGCGAGCACCCGACTCCGCGACCGGATGGCGACAGCCAGACCAAGGCTGGCGAGAGCGAGGGCGAGACTCCACGCCCAGTCTCGAGCGGTGCTCTCACCCCGTCTGCCGGCACGCCCCGCCCGGAGAAACCAAAGACCAAATCTTCGTTGTCAAGAGACGCAAGGCAGCGGCTCGAGGCACAGGATGCGCCGACGCCGTCCAGCCAGGCAGACGATGCACCGCGTGAAGACGTGGAGATGGAAGAGCGCGAGCAGCTTGACAAGGAGGACATCGAGGAAGGGGAGGAGCTTGACGAGGAGGGCGGCGAGGCCTCAGGAGATAAGCCGGCGAGCAACGCAGACACCATGGAGGTTGACGACTAGAAGACTGGATGAGCTTGGTCGACTCACCGCAACGCATTTGCCAGAGGCATCCAGACCAGAGATACCACGGTTCAGGGATAGGGACAAAGGGCGCGGCGTTAATTAGATTCACTTTCGTTCTTTCGATCTACAAATGTGGTATTTCCCCTCCCGTCTGCGTGAAACATAACAAGTCCATGCCTCTTTATACTCTACCCCGTAGAATGTATTCATGCTCGTCTACGCGGCCTTGGCCTGCGCCAGGACCGCCTTGGCGGCTTCCAAATCGGCCGCGTTCGTGTTGGACTCTTCGCTCGCCGCGATCTGTTCCTCGAGCTTCGTCACGGCATTCGCGATGCGCTCCTTCAGTGGGCCGAAGACGGCCTTGGTCTGCTCGACTGCAGTTTGCTACACGACGTGATGCCGTTTCCTCTGCGTCAGCCTTTATTCAACTCGACCCAAGAGCGCACGAATCCAACCCCCATCTGGTTTCGTTTGTTCAGACCTCTCCTGAGAGGGAGAGCCGTCTTCGTCGTCAGAGGGGGGAGGGGGAGGGGGAGGGGGGAGAGACGGCGGCTTCCTCACCTGCTGCTTCAGCATAAACTCGTCGTTGCCGTCCTCGCTCGCGGCGCCGCTGGCCTTGATCCGCTCCTCGAGCGCCTTGACCTCCGCCTCCTGCTGCGCGAGCTCCTTGTGGTACGACGCCTCCTCCTTGAGCAGCCGCTGGACGGAGCCGGACGCGATGGCGAGGGGCGAGGGGGCGGGCATGGCGGCGGCGGACTGCTGGCGGGTGCACTTCCTTTCTTGACGGTCGGGTTGTCTAGTCCTCGTGGTCGAGGGCGCGGGGTCGTTTGTCGTGTACGGAGAATCGACGTGGGAAGGCTGCGAGGATCGTCGAAGAGCTAGGGAGGCTGGCGCTTTGCGAGGTTGCGAGGTCCAAGCGATGGGAAGGAGCGGCGGGTAGGCAGGCAGAGTGGCAGGGTGTCGTGCGGTGCTGTGTATCTGCGGGTGCCTGGAAATGACGGTAGATCACACATTGGACGTGGGGTTCTCGACGCATGGCGGGGCAGGGAGCAACCAGGCGCCGGCGCGCCGCCGAAGAAACACGCGACCCGCCAACACGGTCAGGGGCCGTGGAGCAACATCACCGGCTTCACACTCTTGTCCGCCACAACAGACAGCGCACACTCACGTTGAAGACTGCGCAATGCGCATACGTCATGTTACTAGATCATGTTTATTGGATCAAACTACAGACTGCCTACCCAACACCACCCATTCCATCATAGCGCCTCCAGGACACAATCCCAACCGCGGCCCTCCCTCAACCATTGCAATCGCACGCATTCAGGTACTAGAGCTGTGTCCCCTTTTAGAATCTTCCTGATCATCAGCCGGTAACCCTTCTCGAGCGGTCCGTGGTATCTCCCAGCAAACGCCATCAACGCCGTCTTGAACAAGCCAATGCCCAACAATGCACCAAGTCAGTAATCATACACGAGCCAGACGCAGCATGTAGTAGCTGGTCGGCCGCGGCTTCATTACTTCCGCGAAAACGTTTCCAACAAAGATGCATTACGCCTCGACGGCCACAGCGTGCGCGCTGACGGCCGCGGGCTCCGGCTCGTTCTGGTGGGAGATCTCGCCGCCGGCCTCGCGCTCGGCCCAGTCGCCCCAGAGGCCACGCTTGCCTCGTACACGGATAGGGGCGCCAAGGTCCGGGCCTTGCTCGACCTTGATGGCGTCCTTGGTGGCCAGGACCAGGCACTCAAAAAACATCTTGGTGGCCTCGGCCTTTGTCGTGCGCTTCTCGGGCAGCAGGTTCTGGAACACGACTTGCGACTTCTTGCGCGTCTCGGCGTTCGTGGCCGCTTCTGAGCCGAACAGGTCGCGCAGGATGTGGACAGCATGCTTAGTGCCGACCGATACGGGGCCGCTGTCGGCCGGGTGCACGAGCGGTACCGTCGTCTCGTCAAACGCAGGCATCGGACTGCCCATGTCTCGGTCGTGGTGGTCGTCGTCGGCCGGAATTTCCAGAATAGTGCCGTCCGCGGCCACGCTCTGGTTGCCAAGCCCTTGGCCGTCGAAGCCAAAGTCGGTGTCATCTCCGAGTTCGAGGCGGGGCGACTTCAGGGCGCCTTGCTCGCTGTCAACGTCGGCGATGCCGCTGTCGCGCTTGCGCTTCAGCTCGCTGATTCCACGTATCGCGTCGAGAGAGAGCATGCCGCGGAGCTCGGGAGCCCACGCGGCGCTGCGGCCTTCAGACATGATGGCCGAGACGAATCCGCCACTCTTCTGCATCTCCATCAGAGCCAGAAGGAATGGGTCGCGGGGAAGGAACGCGGCGGGCTTGATGATGTTGTGTCGGTCCGCCTGCTGCTGCTTGATGTGGCTGCTCGACAGCGCGATCTCGTCGTCGGGCAGCATGATTTTCTGCTTCTTGGAGCGCTGCGTGGGTCGCCGGACGAGCGTGGTCTCTGTGTCGTCGAGGGGCTCGTACAGGTCCGTCTGGTTGTGTCTCGAGTACTCTTCCTCCACCTCTCGAGCGAGGGCCTCGTCAATGTCCGATAGCGGCGACTCGGATATCCGCGCACGGTTCAGCGCCGCGGCGCCCAGCTCGGGCATGGCGGACTGATCATCAACATTGAAGCCAAAGTCGTCGTCTCCCATCGGGATGTCGCCTTCTCCGTCAGCGATGCGGACGCCATCTTCGCCAAAGTCGAGCGCGTTGGAATCGTCCTTGCCATGGCGGGGCATGATGTCGAGCTCGCTCAACACGTCATCCTCGAAGTCACGCGCCGCGGGCGCGTCTCGGCCCATTTCGATGCTTTGGCTGGGGCCGCCGTCCATGTCGATACCGAAGTCGAGTCCAAGATCGAGATCGTCCATGGGAACGAGATCGTCCTCGTCCAAGGCGCTGTTGCCCTGGAGGAACTGGCTGTTGTCAAAGTCTTCTTGGAGGTTAATGTCCCTGTTGTGGCTGATGCGTCCCTTGCGACCGACCGGGGTGGCAGTCACGTCGTCGACCTGCGACAAGAGCCACGACGCGTCGGGGGGGGGCGGAAGCTCGAGGTTGTCATATGGTGTGATCTTGTCTGGCAGCAGCAGCGCCTCGCGGTTCGAGACTTGCAGGTTGGCAGCAAGGTCATTGTTACCACTAGATCGGAAGGCCTGAGGAGCAGGTTAGCAGGGATGTACGTGCGCTCGCGTCATGGCTGGGGAGAGGGGCATACCATCTTGATCTTCATCATGGCCTCGTTGCAGTCGTCAAGCAAATAGCGCGTCTTGCGCTGGTATATCCTCACGACGCCGAGCAGCAGCTGGCCGCTGAGGCGCAGGGCCATGGGCGCCTGGTTGGGCGTGATGATGGCCTCGACGCTGTCGGTGACATTGGATTGGAGGATGTGGTTCTTGGAGAGCTTGCGCTCGAGGTTGGCCGAGAGCCAGACGCGGGCGAGCGGCCCGCTCTTGTTGAGCAGCGTCTCCGAGTAGAACATGGCGGCGACGGGGGCGCGGCGCGCGGCGGTGAAAGGACCGCAAGGGCAAGCAGGCAGGCGACGAGCGATGCAGAAGGTCGGCAGCGGCTACCAGGAGGCGAGCCAACGCCGGCAGAGGAGGTGGTGGCGGAGGGCAGTCGCGCGGTCGGGGCGGAGGTGAGTAAACACAGGACCAGGGTGCGCGTTGCGGGTGGATAAACAAGCAGCGGGACCCGTGTCAGGCCAGATTCACGCGCGCCCAAGAAAACAGCGCGACGGCATGAAGCAAGCGAGGGCAGAGCAATCGCGAGAAGCGTGTCGTCGCTGCGCGCGGCGAGGGCCGGTGCGATGGAAGCGACGTGCGGCGACGCGAAGAGGGAGCGGCGGGCGTGGGTGGTGATGGACGACGACGGGGGAGAGGAAGAATGGGAGCCGTGAGTTTGGGCGGTTGTTGGAGGGGACGGGGAGGCGGGCGGGCGAGGTGGACGACGCCGCTGGCGCTGGGCCGGGCTGGGCTGGGGGCACCGCCAGTCGTGACTAAAATGGCGTGGCTGGGGTGACGGAACGGGCGTGCGGCCGTGGGTGCGTGGCTCATTCGCGCGGTACGTACCCGCCGAAGCTGGAACGGGGCCCCACTGGTTGCGTCCATCTGACCACTGGCCGCACGCGGATGCACGTGGGACGAGCGGAACAACGGTAGGCCCGGGATCCGGAGCTGGATGTGGCCGAAGCCCCAGCCACGCCTCTGCCCGTGCTGCCGTGACCCGTCCAGCCCGTTGACCGCCATGCCATCCATCGTTCCAGGGCAGATGGAACCCGATGCCGCCTGAAGTTGGTTCGGCCAGGTACCTCGTTCTCGCGCATGCCATACCTCGACCAACGTCGAGCCTTTGCGCCGCGGCCACACCATCGGCCCCATTGCGCCCAGCAAAACATTAGTTATATGTCCTTCGCATCTAGAGTGGAGTGCAAGGCAAGCAGGACTAGTAGCGACATGGTGTCAATGGCCCACGTACGAGTATGCGTGGCATCTCTCCCTTGTGTCGAGGCTTTCCTCATCCCCGGCGACCTGAGGCCCGGCCCGTCGGCGGAGCGCCTGTACTTTCTACTTGCATGCAATTCATGCGCGACACCCGGCTGCGCCTGCGACCGCCCCTCCCCCAGACGCGGTGGGAGCCAGCGCATCGCCGCTGCAAGTCGCGCCGCGAGCCCACCGCCAGGCTGGGTACCTAAGTACCTAGGCGATCAGATTGCTGCCTTTTTCTCGCGTCTGCACTCCCCGCGGCGTACCTGACCCGGATCCCCTCGTGTCTCGCATTCTGTGTTTGGGAACCTCGACTGTGGCTCAGCTTCCCACATGGCGCCTCGCCTGCCATTGGCCTGCCGCCGGCCTGCCGCTGGCCACAGCGCTCGCTTCCACTGCGACGGCGCCCCCATGGCCACCTCACTCCACTCCACTCCGTCCCGTCAGGTTGGACGGACGGGGCTCAACCTGTGGATGGATCCTGGCATTGGCCCCCTGGCAATTGGACCGCTGTCTCCCGGCGCCACACCCCATGTTGGCAGCACCTGGAACGTGTATGGAAACTTACCAACTTGTCCTCCCTGACGACACTTGTTCTTGGAACCACCGACATCGTCCTCAACTCACCCGCGCCGACGCTCCATTCTCCTCTACCGACCGCATACAAACCGTGGCACCTAGACGCGCACTTCTTGCCGGCGACATTGCCATTGCCCCCGTTCCCCATGATCTGCCAGAGCACCCGCTCGCTCGTCGGCCGGTGATCCTCGTGCACCTCCTGCACCGGCGCGCTGCGCTTTGTGCGCGACGATGCAGTTGCCATGGCAGGGGAGCCAGGGCGCAAACCATGGGCCTCTGCTCCCTACGTCCGCCAGTAACAGTGTCCCGACCATCTCTGGCTTCGCCCAAGACTCGGACGGCGACAGGCCACCGTCACGGCCTCGACATGTCAGGACGACATCGGCGCACGCGCGGGTACGACGCTACACTAATGCTTTTCTTACTTAGAAGCTTCAATGCTGACCGATTTTTTTCCAGAGCGTTGCCGACGAGTTCTCGTACATGACCCCGAGCGAGGCGGCCGCCCAGCTGCGAACCTCTCTAACCCAGGGGCTCACGCCCACCGAAGCCCTCACGCGACTCGGCGAGTACGGCCCGAACGAGATACCCCACGAGGACCCGGAGCCGTTATGGCTGCGATTCGTCAAGCAGTTTCAAGAGCCACTCATTGTGCTGCTGCTCGTCTCCGCGGGGACGTCTCTGCTGCTGGGCAACATGGACGATGCTGTCAGCATCACAGTGGCCGTCACCATTGTTGTCACTGTGGGCTTTGTCCAAGAATACCGATCGGAGCAGTCGATCGAGGCCCTCAACCACCTCGTCCCGAACCACGCCCATCTGGTGCGCGGGGGGCCAGCAAAGCCGCAGGGCACACCCAAGGCGTCTTCTTGGCCACCTGCCGCATTGGATGGCGCAGACGGGTCATTGAGCCCGGGTCTCAAGACTCCTGCTGAAGACGTTCTCGATGCGACATCAGCCAAGGTCATGGCCGGCCAGTTAGTCCCAGGCGATCTAGTGCTTTTTACCACCGGCGATCGCATCCCCGCCGACATACGAGTCACCAAGGCGGCGGACCTCACCATCGATGAATCCAACTTGACTGGAGAGACCGACCCCGTTCGAGTAACCACCGAAGCGCGATCGCGCAGAATCAATGCTCTCGGTATCAGCCATGTCCAGCTCCCTCGGCCGTCGACTCTAGCGCCAGGCGATGGCCAAGGCGACCACGCGAACAACAGCACACATAACATCGCGTACATGGGAACGCTGGTCAAATCTGGCTACGGACAGGGCATTGTGTTTGCCACAGGAGGCAGCACGCATTTTGGCACTATCGCGACGAGCGTGACGGGTACCGAGAGTCCGCGGTCACCTTTACAGCTGTCCATGGACGATCTCGGGTCTCAGCTCAGCAAGGCCTCTTTTGCCGTCATTGCCCTGATCTCACTTGTGGGCTGGCTGCAAGGCAAGGGTCTGCTCGAAATTTTCACCATCTCCATCTCTTTGGCCGTCGCCGCCATCCCAGAAGGCTTGCCCATCATCGTTACTGTTACGTTGGCCCTCGGAGTGCACCGAATGGCTAGACACAATGCCATTGTTCGCCGCATGCCCAAGGTCGAGACATTGGGATCGGTGAATGTGGTGTGCACGGACAAGACGGGTATGTTTCGCTGTGAAACGGACTGAGGCATCAGATGAACTAACAATTACTCGCAGGAACGCTGACGACAAATCATATGACAACCTCCGAGATGTGGTGCTTTGGAGCAGGAGGTGCGTTTGACGTCGTGTCAGACGCCGAATCTCTCGAGAACAAGGTCAGCCAGGCGTCGATGCGGATCCTTCGCATCGGCAACATTGCCAACAATGCACGACTTGCTCAAAAGTATACGGACAACGGAGCGGCAGCCACAGCTGTCTTGTCCTCGACCATCGGTCGCGAGGATGCCGCACCGTACACCAGGTGGGTCGGGCAGCCGACGGACGTGGCCATGCTAGACTTGCTTGATAAGTTCAACGAGCACGATGCGCGCGAATCTGTCGGCCCTCGCGTCACCGAGATCCCATTCAGCTCCGAACGCAAGTGGATGGGCGTCACGATTGGGTCCGACGCCAAGGGCGATAAGGAGTACGCGTACATGAAAGGTTCCATCGAAAAGGTGCTTGCGGCCTGCGACACCTATCTTGAACGCGACGGACGCGAGATTGTGCTCGACTCTTCCCGGCGTCAGGAGGCCCTGGCTGCAGCAGAAACCATGGCGGCCAAGGGCCTCAGGGTACTGGCTTTCGCCAGTGGACCCGTTAACAGGTTGGCAAAGGGACGTTCGACGCCTGGGGCACACCGCAGTGGCACACCCGGGCAGGAAGGCTCGGGCTCTCCGTTGCCAGGATCGGACGATGCGTATAGGGATCTCACCTTTGCCGGCCTGGTTGGCATGAGTGATCCACCGAGACCTGGCGTCGCGCGGTCCATCAGGCGACTGATGAGAGGCGGCGTCAAGGTCATCATGATCACTGGTGACGCGGAGACGACGGCTCTGGCAATTGGTAAGCAGCTGGGCATGACGATTGCTGCGCCTAGCCATCATGGAACGAGCCAGTCGACGGTGAAGTCCGTTTTGAGGGGCGACGAGGTAGACCAGATGTCTGAGCAAGACCTGGCGCAGGCACTGCAGCACACGACCATCTTTGCGCGAACGAACCCCGACCATAAACTGAAAATTATTAGAGCGCTGCAGTCTCGAGGCGACATCGTGGCCATGACGGGGGATGGCGTCAACGACGCACCGGCGTTGAAGAAGGCCGACATTGGCATCTCGATGGGCCGCCACGGGACTGACGTTGCCAAAGAAGCGGCGGACATGATTCTCACAGACGACGACTTCTCGACCATTCTGCACGCCATAGAGGAGGGCAAGGGCATCTTCAACAACATTCAGAACTTCTTGACGTTTCAGCTCAGCACCAGCGCCGCGGGCCTGTCGCTCGTTTTTCTCTGCACCTGCTTTGGCTTCAGGACGCCCCTGAACGCCATGCAGATTCTTTGGATTAGTGAGTGCAGTCCGAATCAGAAAGGTCGGCATGATGGGATCTTTTGCTAACAACTGCACCGCAGACATAATCATGGACGGTCCTCCAGCACAGTCGCTCGGCGTCGAAAAGGTTGACCCGGACGTCATGAACCGGCCGCCGCGAAACCGAGGCGACCCCGTTCTCACTAGGGCGGTGCTCATGCGCGTGCTGACGTCGGCATCCATTATCATGATCGGCACGATGCTGATATATAGCCGGGAAATGCTGGCCGACGGGCAGGTGACGCGGCGAGACACGACCATGACGTTTACGTGCTTCGTCTTCTTCGACATGTTCAACGCGCTCAGCTGCCGGTCAGAGTCTAAGTCCATCTTCCGCGGCGAGATGGGGCTGTTTGCGAACAACCTGTTCAACTGGGCCGTGTCCCTCAGCCTGGTGTGCCAGCTGCTCGTTATATACATGCCGTGGCTGCAGGAGGTGTTCCAGACTGAGGCACTCGGCTTTGGCGACTTGGTTCGACTGGTTGCGCTTTGCAGCACAGTGTTTTGGGCGGACGAGCTGCGGAAATACCTTAAATACGGCAAGAGGCGTTTGGGCAGCGGATACAGCCAAGCGGTATAAGAATCGGGATTCTGGATGGCGGGAGGTGCAGTTCCATGGCTCTTGCCTGGCCCGGTCCGGTGTCTGGAGGGTAAGGTTGTGTATTGATGACGCTATATATGTCTGGCGGCGGCGGTGTTTTCTCGTTTTGCATAGCCTCGTGCTGCTGTGCCGCGTGCACATCACAATGTAAACTCTGTACAATCAACTCGGGCGCTTCGGCATGTTGGCGTGCGTGGAACAGGGTTTTGAGGCGTGAATGTCGCTGTCGCGGGCGGCTGGGCCGTGTTATAGACCCAGGTGCGACGTAACTTGGGCAATTGGGGAGTAATAGTGGGCTGACAGCGGACGCTGCCCAGCGCTCCAACGACATCCCCTGGCGGCACAGCTGGCCCAACCCACTTCGTGTCCAGTACTCTTGCAACCTCCATCCTGCGTCGTGTAGCTTCGTCAACAACTTCCTCGTTTCCGCAACGACGACCGAAAGCAGGCAGGCAGCTATGCGCCTCTCGGCCTCGCCTTCTCTTCGCCAATGTCCTCCCTCTCCAATGGCGTCGCCATCCGCTCGAGCCACGAAAACCACGCCGTGACGGGAACCCAAGCGACGCCGCCAGCCGCGCCGACCGTCCAAGATGCCAGCAACGCCGAGCAGCTGCGCGCCGCGCTGGCGGCCCTCCACGAGCGCGAAACCGCAATAACCGCACGGCTCGATGCCCTAGTTGCCTCGCAGGCCGACCTGTCCCGCGACCTCGGCCGGCTGGACCTGTTGCGTGCCGGGCTCGGCGCGCAGGTCATCGCTGCGCGGTCCGTCGGCAACGAGATGCTCTCCTCTGCGTCCGAGACGGCGGGTCGGCTGAGCGGGCGAGTCAAGCAGCTGGACCTGGAGAAGAGCCGCGTCGAGGACACGCTGGGCGTGGTGGAGCAGGTGGCCGAGCTCAAGGCCTGCGTCAACGGCGTCGTGGGCTCCATGGGCGCGCCGCAGGACTGGGAGGCTGCCGCGGGCTACCTGTCGAGAGCCAGCAAGGTGCCCGAGGAGATTGCGCGCGGCGCTTTTGCAGCCAGCATAGTGCCGAGCGTCGAGGTGCCGGACCCGCCGTGGGTGACGCTCGAGGGCGCGAGGGAGAGCTTGTGCGGCCTGTTCCTCCGCGAGTTCGACAAGGCGGCGAGCGACGGCGACGGCACAAAGGTCACACGTTTCTTCAAGCTTTTCCCCCTTATCGGGAGGGCAGACGTGGGATTGGACGTGTACGGGCGGTACGTCTGTCAGGGCGTGGCCGGCACCGCTCGGGCGACGCTCAAGGACAGCATCGGCGGGAACAACCGCAAGGAGGGCTTCTTCTACGCCAATGCCCTGACCAAGCTGTTTGAGCACATTGCCCAGATTGTCGAGGGCCACGGCGGACTCGTGGAGAGACACTACGGCACTGGCAAGATGGTTCGGGTCATCGAGCGGCTACAGATGGAGGCGGACGTTCAGGGCGGCATCATTCTCGACACGTGGAGCGATGAGCGTGGCGTGGATAGGAAGCTGACCGACGTCAAGAGCTACCCCTTTTCGTTCCTGGTGCAGAGCTTCCTGCCTCAGCCGCCGCGCGGCGGGACACCTAGGGTCAACTCGCCGGCGGTCGGCGCTGGCAACAACCCTCGGAACAGCGAGGACGAGGGGGTGAACATGAAGGAGGTGGATGGGCTGCTCAGCGAGATTGCCGTCATGCTCGGGCGGTGGTCGTTGTATACACGGTTTCTGTCGGGCAAGTGCATGGTAAGTTCAGTCGCAGGCGGATTGCAGCAAAGACATACTGACGGGCGTCAGGAACCGGGGACCGAAGACAACACGTTGGTCATCCCCGACTTGCTGGTCAAGTCCAACCTCTACCGCAAGGTCTCGTCCAAGCTGTCCTCTCCTTACAACGTCATGACCACTTTCTTCTTCCGCCGGTCAGTCGAGAAGGCGTTCCAACTAGACGAATACCCGAGCGGGCTATCGCTCAGCTTGAACAAACATCTCGAAGGAAATGCGCCCTACATAATCTTGGCGGTCGACGATGTTATGTACATTGCCAACACTTTTATACAAAAAACGCTGTCCACGTCGCAACGAGACGTCATCACGGCGGTTTTGCCCACCGTCGGTCGCGTGCTGGAATCAGACTTTGTCGGCATGATGCAGCGCAAGATGCGAGACGAGTCGTACCCCAAGGCCATCATCCAGGGAGGGTTCCCGCCGGAGGATAAGATTATACAGTTCATCGTTCTCATCAACAGTCTGGACGTGGCCAACGAGTACCTGCAGAGGATCATCGGCGGGCGGATAGTGCCCGCTGAAGGTCAGGCCGGGGCGGTCACGCTACATCCATCGCTCAAGGACTCTTTTCCGTTTGATCGGGACGTTGGGTTGGTTGCCAAGGCGCTGCAGACGCTGGAGACGGCGGTGGTGTCCAAGTCGACGGAGCTGCTGAACGAGGGCATCCAGGTGTTGTTCAACCAGGTAGTCAAGGCACGACTGCGGCCTGTGCTGAGCGACACATTCCGGGACGCCGACTACACGCTGACAGAAGAGGAGCTGTCCGAGATGGCACAGCAAAACGACGAGACAGAGGAGGACTTGATGGACCAGGTGCGGCGGCGGTTCGAGCACGGCTGGGACCAGCTGATGAAAGCGCTCGCGCGGTTGATGACCTCGGGCACTTACAGTCACCTACTGGACCTCACGGCACGATACCTTTCCAGAGTGCTGGAGAAGCGTATCCTCAGCTACGGGGGCAAGACGACAGGATTCGGAGCAGTCCGCATGGAGAGGGACTTTACGGGCATCGTCGACACGGTGTCGCGGGGAGACTACGTGGTGAGGGAGGCGTTTGCGCGGGTGACGCAGCTCCTAATGGTGGCCAACATGGAGGACGATGAGTGGGAGGAGCTGCAGGCCGAAGGCGAGGGCGAGGGCGAGAGCGGGATCGAGTGGGTGCTTAGCGAGGAGGAGAGGAGGAGAGCACGCAGCCTCGTGGGGTGAGACAGCGATGGGCAGAGACGCATAGAAGTCTAAACAAGGTGGCCAATGCCATCCGATACAAGACAAAAAGTCCAGCAAGCCATGTATACCTGAATGCGCGTGTGCCCCAATTTTGATGAGAGGTTCCGCCGGGGACGAAGGAGGAGGAGGGGGAGGCGGAGGGCGGAGGAGGACGGCGGGAGAGCGACAACTTTTTTGTGGGACCGGCGAGGACGGCCTGAGTCAATCAACGCGACGTCACCTTCACTCTCAGTGAGCAGCGAAAAAAAAGTTGACTCTCACCATGAAATTTCACGACCCTTGAACTCGCAACACTTAACGCCGCGCCACGACTTGCAGCAGCCTATGATCCCTCTGAAGATATATCCCGGCTCTCTGCTTACTACACCAACGATTCATTTCTTGCCATAGAGCACACTTTCGGCGTCTATCCAAGTTGGCGCATGCACACTTGCCTCGACTTACATCACCCGTCTTCATCCGCCGCCTCAGCCTTCCACGGCCCCTATCAACAACTGCGCGGTTAAGGCTCCCCTCCAACCCAGCCGCCGCCGCCATGGAGACGCGGGTCGTCCCCGTCCCGACGAGGAACCCACTAGGACGCTTCTCCGACGACGCCGGCAAGGGCGGCCTGGCCAGGCTGGACGAGTGGCGCATCAACCGGGACGACAACGACAACGGCACCGCGCTGGCCGCTCTGGAGCCGGCGGCCGAGTACCTCGGCGCGAGCGACACGCCCGTCGCGTTCCCCACCGAGACGGTGTACGGGCTCGGCGCGGACGCGACGCGGAGCGGCTCGGTCAGGGGCATCTACGCCGCCAAGGGCCGGCCGTCGGACAACCCGCTCATCGTCCACGTCGCGGACCTGCGGATGCTGAGGGCCCTGCTGCGACACGGAGATCGAGGCGCACATGGTGAGGAGCACAACAATAACAGCAACGAAAACGGCGTTGACGACGACGTCATACCCGCGCGGTACAAGCCCCTGCTGGAGCGGTTCTGGCCCGGCCCGCTCACCATCCTGCTCCCCAACCCGACGCCGTCGCCGCTCGCGCCTGAGGTTACCGCCGGCCTGCCCACCTTTGGCGTACGCATGCCCTCGTCGCAGCTGGCCCTCACCCTCATCAAGCTGGCGGGCGTGCCGCTGGCGGCGCCTTCGGCCAACGCCTCGACCAAGCCGTCGCCCACGGCGGCGCGCCACGTGCTCGACGACTTGGACGGGCGCATCGAGCTGATCCTCGACGGCGGGGCCTGCGACGTCGGCGTCGAGAGCACCGTCGTCGACGGCCTGTGCGACCCGCCCGTCGTGCTGCGGCCCGGCGGCGTGGGCATGGACGAGCTGCGGAGCTGCCCCGGCTGGGAGGGCGTCGTCAAGGCGTACAAGGACCAGAGCGAGGAGGGGAACAACAAGGCCGCGCCGCGCGCGCCGGGCATGAAGTACAAGCACTACAGCCCCAAGGCGCGGGTGGTGCTCTACGAGGCGTCGTGCGGCGAGGGAGGAGCCGGTGTCACGGCGGCCGATGCCGAGGACGCTGCGGCACGGCTGACGAGCAACGGGGACGCAACGTCGCAGACCAATGGCCACCCGTTCAGGAGGGTGGGTGTCATCCGGACCAAGAGGTGGAAGCCTGCGGCCGGGATTCGCTGCGACGACCTACGTCTCGAGGAGGACCACGCCGAAGCGCAGCCGCAGGCTGAGACGCCATACAGCGTATACACCGGCGGCCTGAAGGACGAGCAAGGGAGCATCGTCGGGCAGGTGTTCGACATAAGCCTAGGGACGGACACGAGGAAGATTGCCCACGGCCTGTTCTGGGCGCTGAGGGAGCTGGACCGCCGCGGTGCGGACACGATATTCGTAGACGGCATAGACGACGAGCTGGACATTGCGGCGGCCGTCATGAACCGCCTCCGCAAGGCGGCATCCGAGACTAGAGCATAAGAGGCCCTCAAGGGGAGGGAGGGCCCATGACCACCACGCACAGATAGATTTTTTTTTTTTTTTTTTGCATATACCCTTGCCAACCTTTTTGACGTTTCTATCAATGGCATGAAAAGGAACAACCCCCCCGGATCAAACTCACGGGGTATTTCATTGACGCTAGAACAACCGTGACGAGTTTTCTTTTCACCCGACCAAGACCGACCAAGAAATCTAACCCCGTCCGCGTGTGCGCGCGCGTTCAGAGGCCCTGCCGTAGCCAGTCGGCCAGCTTGGACTTGCCCAGCTGGGCGAGGTTGTTGACGCCCTGCTCGCTGAGGTCGATGCGGCCGAGGGGCACGTCCTGGGTGGGTGCGCGGCTGACGCGCTGGACGATGATGGTGGGGTCCGTCTCGAGGATGATGCCGTCGTCGACGACCTCGTCGATGGCGAGAGAGACGAGGTCGTAGTTTTCGATGATTGTCCTCTTATCGACGGATTGCCTTTTTTCTTTCGTTAGCCAACAATCCATGCCGTGACGATGCCACGGTGTTGCGATCAACCCCACCGAGGGTTTAAGGGGTGGAGAGAGGCGGCGACGACGACTGGGACGACGTACTTGAACAGCAGGTGCAGGGAGTCGCGCAGGGCGAGGACCGTGTTGTAGAGCAGAATCTCGTTCTCGTCGAGGCTGCCGACGACGTAGATCATGACGTCCGACTCGAGCTTGTAGAGTACGATCCGGTTGTCGTAGAGGATGATGTCGCCCGTCTGCTTGGCCGTCTTGTCGATGAGGCCCTTTTCAAAGGCCTTTTGCGCCTTGAGGTCCGGGTAGGGGTTGGACGAGGAGCTCGCGCCGCCTGTGTGGATGCAGTCTGCGTCAGCACACGAACGATCTGTAGATTACGACCTGCGATGCCTGCGATGCGATTGTTTGCGCGGGCGTGCGAGGCAATGGGCAATCGGGGAGTGGTCGGTCGGCCGTCGTCGTCGTAGTCAACCAGGGAGGGATGGGACGGGGGGGATGCGCTTCGAACGTACCGGCGGCGGAGGCGGTGCTGTGCGGCGGGGAGTAGTATTTGGCAAAGATGCGGGAGCCATCCTCGGTGCTGAGGATCAGGACGGCCTGCACCGAGAAGAGGGTCATTCCGGGAGACATGGTTGCGGCGGGCGGGTGGGCGGCGAAGGGGGGTGGTTTGCGGGCGCGCGGGTGGGATGTGGTTGTGATGCTAGCTGAGGTGGCCTCGACGACGTCGCAGGTGAGGTGCGGCGCGGCTGCTGCAGGTGGTGCTGTCGCTGTTGCGGCCACCTCTGTCATCACTGGCTCGCCCGCTGTTCAGAGGCCGCGTTGTGGAGCACGGGCAGGCTCTCTCGCCCAGGCGTAGCCTTCAGAGCCCCTGGGCACGGCACCTCTCACCACGACAGCACGCACGGGCGATAAAGGTACACCCTTTAGAGAAGCACAAATTGCGGGCAAGAAGTATGATGAAAAGGCCAGTTCATCTACTCGACCAAATTCCTGTTTTTACTGGGAATCCAATGTGTCTTGGGGCTGTCAATCAATGTCCTTTACAGCCAGCCTGCCCAAGTCTGCTTCTGTACTACGGGTGCCCGCGATGATTTTTGAGGCTCGACGCTGGCCCCTGGTCCTGGTCAACCTCGTGCACCGCCACGTAGCAAGCCACACTTCACAGGGGTGTTGGCGGGTGGCGGTACAACCTTTTGCCGCCCTGGGCTGTGGTGTGGGGCTCCAAGAGACGCGTGCGCACGGACCAGGTTACCGCCTTTGCTAGTTTAATTGGCACCAGGCGCGTCGGGAAACCACTTTACGCGTCCCGCAGCGCTTGACGCGACCCCTGCCCTGCCGTGCCTGCCCTTTTTCCTCCTCCCTCCCACCAACTACGTCTTCACCTGCCCTTGCCCCTCGTCTCGGGTTCTGGGCTCAACGACCTCCGCCGTGCCATCTCCAATCCTCGGTTTCACCACCACCGCAACGGAGCAAAGGAGAGCACATCCAACCAGACAGCCAGCAACATGTCGTCGCCGTCCCATCGCCGGCAGCGCAGCTCGCAGTCGGCGACCCCCCGCCGCTCTGCGCGCCAGTCCGAGGCAGCGGGCACGCCTCGCCAGTCGTCGCAGCTCGCCTCCAGCCCGCTCTTCTACCAGTCCTCGCCTGCGCCTTCGGGGAGCGCTCAGCACAATGGCGCCGCTGAGGAGGTCTCGTCGCCTCTGCGCCAGATGACGGACAGCCAGGATACGCACGGCAACGGGGCCACGCCGAGCTCGCCATTGCGGCAGATGACGGGTTCCCAGACGCCTACTCATGATCCGCAGCGCACGCCGAGGGCCAGTGGCGGACTCACAGGAGGTACGCGCTGCAATTGGCTTTCAGTCTCTCATGCGACTGCCCTGCTAATCTGCTTTAGAATCGTCGCCGATTCGATATGAGCCCAGCTCCAGTCCCGGTCGATCACTTCGCCACCAGTCCGAGCTGCGCAGCGAGAGCAGTGGTCTCTTTGTCGGCTCACAACGAGGCAGCGCAGCCCATCGCCGAGGCGACATCAACTCGGACGCCCTCAGGACGCCTCGCGCCCCTCGCCGTGTCATCCTCGATGATGCGGGGCGCGTGGTTCGCGAGGGACAGACCCCGGGTTCCGATGCCGCCTCCTTCTCCAACCGCGACCCCAACACCTCCGAAGCGGATCATCTTGGCGGCCAAGGACAGAGCCTCATCTGGGGCACCACCGTGTCTATCGATGATACCTTTGCCTCTTTCAAAGACTTCCTGCGCAACTTTACCCAAAAGTATCGCATGTATCGAGACGGTGTGCCTGACGCAGATGTTGCTGCTGCGCCAGATGCCGAGTCGAAGCCTTACTGGGAGGCTCTCGAGAACATGCTTCTTCTCGGCACCACGAGGCTGTACCTCGACATCTCCGATCTTAACATCTATCCTCCCACTCGCAAACTGTGGCATCAGATCCAAGCCTACCCGCAGGAAATTGTGCCCGTCATGGATCAGTCCGTCCATGATCTCATGGTTGAGATTGCCCGCAACGAAGGCCTCAGGAGCCGGCCTAGCCAGAGCAGCGCGGGTAATCACGATACGCAGCAAAGCACACAGAGCTCTGAGCCGGTCTTCCCAAGCTCAGACAGGCCCGAAGACCCTGCGACACCGCGGCCGACCCAAGAGCAGCAGCCCTCGCTTGAGGACCAGGTAGCCTCATCGATCTACGTTGTGCGGCCGTTTGGCCTCGACAAGACGACAAACTTGAGAGATCTCAACCCTTCGGGTATGTATCTAAACCACGCTACCCTCGTGAGAATTGAAACTGACAACCACAGACATGGATCGGTTGATCTGCATCAAGGGCCTCGTCATCCGAACGACTCCCGTCATCCCGGACATGAAGGACGCCTTTTTCCGATGCAACGTCTGCAACCACTCCGTCAACGTTGGCCTCGACCGTGGCAGGATTCGCGAGCCCACCGAGTGCCCCCGCCAAATCTGCGGCCAAAAGAACTCGATGCAAATCGTTCACAACCGCTGTTCTTTTGAGGACAAGCAAGTCATCAAGCTTCAAGAGACGCCCGATGCCGTGCCTGCTGGTCAGACGCCGCACTCGGTTTCCGTCTGCGTCTACAACGAGCTGGTCGACTTCTGCAAGGCCGGTGACCGCGTCGAGCTCACCGGCATCTTCCGAGTCAGCCCCGTTCGTGTGAACCCCCGTCAACGGGCCATCAAGAGCGTGTACAAGACGTATGTCGACGTCCTGCACGTCCAGAAGGTTGACAAGAAGCGCATGGGTGCCGATCCTTCCACCCTCGGCGTGGAAGGCGAGGAGGACGGCGAAAAGGACGGCAGCGACGTCCAGGAGACGCGCAAGGTCTCCCCTGAGGAGGAGGCCAAGATCCGGGAGACCGCCGCCCGCGACGACATCTACGAGCTCCTTGCGCGGTCGCTCGCCCCTTCGATCTACGAGATGGACGACGTGAAGAAGGGCATCCTCCTGCAGCTCTTCGGTGGCGCCAACAAGACCTTCTCCAAGGGTGGCAGCCCCAAGTACAGAGGCGACATCAACGTGTTGCTCTGCGGCGACCCGTCCACGTCCAAGTCACAGCTTCTCTCGTACGTCCACAAGATTGCCCCGCGAGGCATCTACACCAGCGGCAAGGGATCTTCGGCCGTCGGTCTCACGGCGTATGTTACGCGCGACCCGGAGACGCGGCAGCTCGTGCTCGAGTCGGGTGCCCTTGTCCTGTCCGATGGCGGTGTGTGCTGCATCGACGAGTTTGACAAGATGTCTGACGCGACCCGCTCCGTCCTGCACGAAGTCATGGAGCAGCAGACCGTGTCGGTCGCCAAGGCCGGCATCATCACCACCCTGAATGCCCGAAGCAGCATTCTCGCCTCTGCCAACCCTATTGGCAGCCGATACAACCCTGACCTCTCTGTCCCTCAAAACATCGACCTCCCTCCCACCCTTCTTTCTCGTTTCGATCTCGTATACCTCATCCTTGATCGGGTCGACGAGAAGACGGACAAGCGGCTGGCCAAGCACCTTCTGTCCATGTACCTCGAGGACAAGCCGCAGTCTGCCCAAACTAACAACGACATCCTCCCGGTCGAGTTTCTTACCTCGTACATCTCCTTTGCGCGCTCCCACATCCACCCCACAATCTCCCCAGAGGCGGCGCGGGAGCTCGTCGAATGCTACGTGGCCATGCGCTCCCTGGGCCAGGACGTCCGCGCCGCCGAGAAGCGCATCACGGCCACGACGCGACAGCTGGAGAGCATGATTCGCCTAGCCGAGGCACACGCCAAGATGCGCCTATCGGAGACGGTGACGCGCGACGACGTGCGCGAGGCGAACCGCCTCATCCAGAGCGCGCTCAAGACGGCGGCGACCGACTCCCAGGGCCGCATCGACATGAGCCTCCTGACCGAGGGCACGAGCGCCGCCGACAGGAAGCGCCGCAGCGAGCTCCGGGACGCGGCGCTGCGCCTGCTCGACGAGATGACGGCCGGCGGCGGCTCCGTCCGCTGGGGCGACGTCGCCAAGCGCCTGAGCGAGGGCGCCAGCGTGCCCGTCGAGACGGCCGAGTTCAACGAGGTGATGCGCGCCCTCGAGACGGAGAACCTCATCGCCGTGACGGGTGAGGGCGCGAGGCGGAGCGTGAGGAGGGTCACGGGCGTGGCCTGATGAGTGGACGGCGTGTGCGTGTGCGCGTGTCTGTGATGGGATCCAATGTGAGGCGTATCATGAATGTGCGGGAACGAGTCTCATGGGCGGGCGGCAAGGATATATCTGATCTACACTTTGGGCGTTGGGCAATGTCAATGATGGGGGTCTGCTAGAGTTTATGTACGTGGACAGACATGGTAGATAATGACTGTCGGAATGCATCTTTGCAAGATTCATTGTATTACAGGATCCGTCATCTCGCCGTGGTACTGTGTTGTATGTCCCCTCGTCCCACCGGACCTTTCGGACCCCCTTAGCGCGATGGCTGGCGATGGACAGCATTTGTTTGTTTGTTTGAATCAGTGTGATTGCGCTGCCTGATATCGAGTACAGTTTTGTTATGCAAGATGAAGATGCCCTCGTTCGCCAACACCCCGAGCTTTCCCAACGACGCTTTCCCAGGATACACTCCCTCCAACTACACACCCTATTACGTCTCGACTGCCCCTTTCCCGCAGCAAGCAAATGATGAAGAACAGACGACGATGATGCACCGACCGCTCCCGCCCAAACGCACTTCATACAAGGGAATATACACAACACCTCTCTTCCCCTCTCCTCGCGGCTGAACTGAGCAGCTTACTACCATATGCCCCTCTCGCGGCCCTCAAACGCAAAGTTGAGCGCAACGGCGACGACCAGGGAGACGCACAGCACGCTGGGGCCCCACTTGTCGTAGTACTTGGCCGCCTTGCGGTTGCGGATCGAGCGGCTCCGGTAGAGGTAGATGCCGACCGAGTAGCAGAGGCTGAGGATGGCGAGGAGCGTGAAGATGCCGGCCACCCAAAAGGACGTGGGCGTCGGGTGCGTGCCAAAGTTGAGCAGCGTCACGGCAATGGTGCCGATGTAGATGGAATACTCGAGCTGCAGGCGGACAGTGTTAGCAAGTGGAAGGGTGGTTTAGCTGTCTCGGGAGGGAGGGAGGGAGGCTTACCCATCCGAGGAACGTTCTCTCGGCGGCGAAAAAGACCTTGGGCTCGACGCGCACAGGCACGTAAATCTTCTTGCCCGGGGGTGCCCGGAACTTCTTCGTGTGCACCGGCCCAGAGCCAAACAGCATCTCTGTCCTGGCGCTGCGGGGTACCTGAGTGGCGCGAGGCGCGGGCACGAGGTGCTTCATCACGTTGAGGGTGCCGTGTCCAAAGGCACGAGCCTTGGTCGAGATGAGCGTGTGGTAGTAGTGCCATCCGCCGACTCGGCGAGCCTCCTCCAACTCGTAGTTTTCGTCATACTCGTCGTCCGAGTCGTAGATGGGGAAGTCTTCATCAGCCGTTGGTAGGTCAACCGTCTGGCCCTCGGTGTCTGTCGGCGCCGGCAGCGCCCCTCGGCTGGATTGACCATTGGTAGACGGCCGAGCTCCGTGCCTCTGCACTTCCTCTTCGTCCGAGTCGATGTCCTCCTCGTCGTCGTCCGAGGTTGTCGTGGTCCCGGACATGCCGGGCCGGTGAATGCCAAAGTCGTGCGCGACCGGCTTCCGGATGTCCACGTCCATCTGCGGCATCCAGAAGGGCAGGAGGTTGATGCGGTCAGGGAAGAGGCATGCCGTGCCGTGGATAAACTTGGAGAACTTCGGCACCGCCTCGACCAAGTGCGACGAGATGAGCTGCCTAACCCACTCGGGCGGCTCTTGTCCCATTTGTGTCTGCAGCTTGACTTCGAGAACGGCGTATGGGAACCGCACGATGTCCTCGGGGGGTAGTTGCGAGAAGGGATAGTCGATGCCAATGTCCATTCGTCGCCAATTGTCGCCAGAGCGCTTCCGGCCGTCGAGGTTATCTTCTCGAACCATGGTGAGCTCGGTATCCAGGGATATCCGAACACGGGCATCTGCGGGGAGCTGGAAGGCTGTCCGGTTGTAGAAAGAGCGGCAGACGGGCTTATAACCTTTCTTCAAGACCGAGTACTGGATCTCGGACGCCAGCCGCTCGTCTTCCGCGATGGCCTTTTCCGACTTCTTGCCCTCCTTGCGAGCCTTCTCAAAGATGGCGGCAGGAAGCAGCTCACCCCGCATGTAGGCGTTGACGTTCTTCTCCTTGATGGCGAATCGCGCCTTTACCGACTTCTCGCCGGTCCAGTCCTCGCGGTGGGTCTTGCGCTCGACAAAGATTGTCTCTGTCTGCATGCCACCGTACCAGCGGAGACGGATAGCCTCGGCGCCTTCGCTCTTTTTCAGGCGCCCCTCGTACAGATCCCACTTTTGTGGGTTGTCGTAGTAGATGGAAGTGATGGCCGAGTCCGCCTGCTCAAACTCCTTGCTGGCGTTGAAGACGAGCACGGGGAGGTGCTTGAGGATGATGAGCTTCAGCTCTGTGACGTTGTCCGGGTGTACCCAATACTTGGTTGTCTGGCGGACAAAACTGGCCTGCGAGCCTCCGGCGGCGCTGTCACCTTTGACGGGGTTGCCACGGGTTCGGACTAGGTCGTACAGCTTCGACAGCTTGATGACGGAGGCGTCGTAGTTTTCCTTGTAGAAGGGCTTCGCCTTGAGTCGGGCATCGAACGCAGGGCGGAGGTGCCATCCCGTCATTTTCTGCACAAGTGTCAGCTAAAACAGAACGCAGTGCGCTCCGTAGCGGGGATCGACTTACGTCGTGCTTCTTGATGATCTTGTAGAAGCCCGTGTAGTTGAGCTGGACAAACTTAGCGAGGTCGTGGACGTCGGCGATGATATCGCTCAGGTCCTCCTCGAGCAACATAAACTCCTCCTCGCTGGGCCCTTCCTCGCTGAGGCCGCGCTCGTTGAGGCGATTGACGACGTCCTTGACCTCGCGCTCGCTCACGGCGATACGGCGGGAGATCTCCATGGCCTTGACCTGCTGCTTCGTGTGCACCTTTTCGAGCTCGGCCTCGAGCTTGCCGACGAAGCGCGTCTCGTCCTCCTCGGTCCACTCGTTGCCGCCATGGTCGCCTTCCTTGGGGGGGCCGGTGGCATTCTTAAGCTCGGCCTTGAGGCCGTTGTAGTCAATGTAGTACCATTGATACTCGCGTATGACGCTCGATCGCAGCTGCTCGCCGAACTTCATGACCACGACTCCAGGCCGGGCTCGGAACGTGCCGCCCGGTTTCGCTGCTTTCCAGGTCTTGTCGAGGGCTCTGAGGTCCTTGACAATCAGCATGGGACGGCCGGGTATTGATCAGGCGCGAAGGGGGGAGAAGCGGCACGGCGCGCGAACGTCTTCGAGACAAAGGACGAAGAGCATCAAAGGAAGGGAGCTGTCTCACCTGATGAGAAAATTTCCGGGCACCCGGGGTTTGCTGGCGCGCAGGACAAACCAGAGACAAAGGAGCCGCCGGCGGAGGTCACGATGTGGTTGGAGAAAGCGGCGAACCTCTGGATGGCTGCATTGGATCAGCCCGCCGCTATGGGCAAGCATTGGCGAATCACGGGGTCCACCACAGCAACGTGGGAGGGGCTCTCCAGCTATCGCCTGGGGGGCCTCTGCCGCGGGCGGGCCAGGGTGGTGATGGAGCCCACTGCCCGGGCTGGGCTGGAGCTTTCAGCGAGCAGGGCAGCTTGCGGGAGCGACTGCAAGCCCTGCCACGGCTGCCAGCCCGGGCGGGCAGCTAGTGGAAGGTTCCGTTCCGTCATCTGGGCAGTCTCGGACTCAGAACCGCCCCCAAGCCAGCGCCTGGAAGCAGCCATGCAGCCCCTCCCCTAGCGCGCTGGGTGGGCCGCATTCGGCGGCGCTCGTGGGCGGGGCCACGGCCGGGCCAGCGATTCTCGAACCGACACTTTTTTTTCTCTGCGCTCCGAGTCGACGGGCCATCGGTCTATGATTCGAGATTGCCCGGTCACGGCCCGGCGCAGACGGCAGGAAATCACGGAGCTCCGGACTCTGTCGCGGAACGCCATCACCTTCCATTGAGTGCACTTGGTGTCTCTAAACCTCCCGTCGATAAGCGCCTCGAGCTTCTTCCCCCCACCACGCCAGCATGGCTCCCGACGCCGCCCCCATCGACGACTCCATGCCCGCGCGCATCTCGCCCGACTGCCCGCAGGACGTCCGCGACGTGCTCTACCACGCCTGGGCCCACGACGTCTCCGGCTTGAAGAAGCTGCTCGACGTGCGCGGCAAGGCGAGCGCGCAGGACCCCACGACGGGCGAAACACCCCTCCACGCCGCCATCCGCGCCTGCGGGCCGGCCGAGACCACCGCCGCGACCGAGCCGCACGACGCAGACGACGATGCGGCCGAGGACGGCTGCGTCGAGGAGGCGCGGGAGACGCTCCAGGAGCTGTTCTTCTCGGGCGCCATCTGGAACGACGTCGACGCCAACAACGAGACGCCCGGGTGCGTCGCCCGGCGGCTGGGCCGTAAGGCCCTCTACGACATGTGCGTCGACGCGGGCGTGCGCGCGGAGCTGCTCTTCTCCCTGATGGGCGACTACGAGGAGCTGTCGTCGGGCTCCGACGTGGGAGAGGATGACACCGCGGAGGCAAATGGCAACGAGAACGGCGACGAGACCGCTGCACCCGACGCGCAAGCCGAGGCCGAGGACGTCGACATGGCGGACGGCGGCGACGACGACCGCAAGTTCGTTCCGCCCGACGCCAACGAGAAGACGGTGACGAGCGACGAATACCTCAAATCGGATCTGACGTACGACGCGGACAAGCTGCTCGACGCGGACCTCAACGGCGTCATGATGGCCTGGGAGACGGACATCATGCGCCGCTCCGTCGAGGCGCTCATCCCCGGCGCCGAGCAGGGCAAGCGCATCCTCAACATCGGCTTCGGCATGGGCATCATCGACGGCATGTTCTCCGCGCTGAAGCCCTCGCGGCACCACATCATCGAGGCGCACCCGGGGGTGCTCGCGCACATCGCCGCGGAGCAGCCCGGGTCCGGATCCGGGTCCTCCAAGTTCGGCCCCGCGTGGGAGGCGAGCGGGCCCGAGGACGGCGCCTACAAGGTGCACGCCGGCCGGTGGCAGGAGGTGGTCCCCAAGCTGCTCGGGCAGGGCGAGGTGTACGACGCCATCTACTTCGACACGTTTGGCGAGGACTACGCGCAGCTGAAGCTCTTCTTCACCGAGTACGTGACGGGGCTGATGGACCAGGAGGGGCGCTTCAGCTTCTTCAACGGCCTGGGCGCCGACCGGAGGATATGCTACGACGTGTACACAAAGGTTGTCGAGATGCACTGCGCCGACGCCGGAATGGATGTCGAGTGGGAGGAGAGCGACGTCGACATGACCGCCCTCAGGGAGGAGGGCAAGGGCGAGTGGGAGGGTGTCCGGCGGCGGTATTGGACGCTCGACAAGTATCGGCTGCCGATATGCACATTTATGGGATAAACAGTGTAGACGGCTGCCGACATATGTCGATGAAGAGACGTCAGATTCGCCTCAGCTGCTATACTACTCATGAGTTGCAAACAAGAGCTCATATCCTGGCCACCGTGACTGGATCTATTTGAGAAATCTTTTCTGAACCTTTTTTCGCCCGCCCCCAAGGCACCCTGCCCTTGTCCTGATGGCAAGGGAACCTCAGCCTACCAGCCTCTGACTACTGGAAGTTCTCGGGGTGCAGGATACCAGCCATATTGCCTGCCTTGACACGCTTCAGGGTCAGGGCGGCGATCAGGGCGGCACCGACACCACTGCCGTCTTCGGCAGCAAGGATCTCAATGGGATCCTCTTCCTTGGGGTTGGTCTTTTCGGGCCAGTCGAGGATCTCGCGGAGCGCCTGGGCGCCGCGCGCCTTGAAGTGGGGGTACTTGTTGAAGACTGAGCCGTCGGCGCCGACGTGGCACGTCTTGTAATCCTTCTTTTTGCAAATGGCAGCGACGCCGCAAGCAGACAGGCGGGCGGCTCGAGTGCCAATGAGCTCGGCGAGCCGGCGGATCAGCTCAAGCTCGGGCAGTGTGCAGGTAATGCTGAGCTTGGAGTGGAACAGGTCAAACGTCTCCTGCAGATTCTCAAAGGGATCCCTGGCAAATATTAGCGAATCCAGGAGAATGGGGTCATGCGGCGGAGAGACTCACTCCTCGATGGCAGACAAAAAGGAAGAGTCCAGTGTGTATGCCTTTCGCAGGTGGGAAATGTCCTGGCCCTCAAAGATGTGCACGTCCTTGTTGTCGTGGAGGTCGACAAGGACCAAGCGGAAGATCTCGCCAAGGTACAGCCCAGCGATCATCTTCTCGAACGCCTGCTGGCCCGGACGAGGGGAGTCTCGGTCGATGATCTTGTCGAACTCGGTCCGGGGAAGCACCTTGTGCTCATTGTCGAAGGCTCCCCACTCGCAGTTAATAGCCATGGGCGTGTCAGGCGGCATGTTCATGTGGGCGAGCTTAGGAATCGAGCCGACATCCTCCATGTAGGCGGCGTTGCAACCGGTGCCAAAGATGCAGCCAATCTTCATCTTGGTGTCGGTGTAGGCGGACGCGATCATGGTTCCCGTGGTGTCGTTGATCAGGGCCGTCAGCTTGATGGGGACGCCCTAGAGAACACTCTGCTCAGCTTACGCTCCGCCCGATCCGTGAGCGTCGACTTACACGCTTAGCCAGCGCCGCTTCAAACATGGGCACGACGTTTTCACCCTCGACGCCAGAGATGTCGAAGCCCTTGGTCCAGCGCTGGAGGATGCCCTCGTCGATGTAGTTCTGGGTGGCAGGGTAGGAGAACGTAAAGCCCAGGGGTAGGGACTCGATGTTGCAGCCGCCATGGTGTGTCTCAATGAACTGGTACAGACAGTCGGCAATGTACTCCCAGAGCTCGTCGCTGTTGCCCGTCTTGAGCTCCTCGGGCATGCGGTACTTGGACTGCAAGATGTCGAACTCGGACTTTTGCTCAGTCAGGGTGATCTGGCAGACTCGCAGGTTCGTACCGCCCATGTCGAGGGCGAGGAAGGTCCCTGTCTCGTAGCCATCGGGGAACGACATGACCCAGGTCGGGTTCATGGGCTACATGGGTAGTCTGTCAGTCAAGGTCTTGCAGTTGAAGCGTGCTCGGCTTACAATGCTGCCGCCCTCGACGCTCAAGCCTGTAGATGCACGTTAACGCCGTCCATTGTGGCTTCTGATGGGCGACTAATTACCTTTGGCGAGCTCCGAAATAAAGTGGTTGGTGATTTCCTTGAGCTTCTTCTCGTCGACGATGAAGATCTCCTCCAGGTGCCTGACCTGCTCCATCAGGTCCTGGGGGAAGTCCGTCTTAGACCCTGCCATCGCGACAGATATTGTTAGCGGCCGTCTGAACTGGGAAACACGAGGATCATCAGGCGGCTGAAGGTCAGGGTAGCGAGGAATCTGACGCGAGGTCTGGGACATGACAGACGAGCCGAGACGGTGGCCCTATGTATGTTCAGCCAGGCAGGCAACAACCCCGGCCCCAGGCGCCTTGCTGGGCAGTGAATCACGGACCATTCGGTCTCGTGTGGAAGTGGGCGTTGCTTGCAGCTATCTGCCATCCCACAGGTACGGCACACGCGGACGGAGACCGCGGGATGACGGAGTACCCGGGGAGGCATGACAGAAGGGGCTGAGGTCCAACACACCGGCCCCGGTTGTGCGACCCTCCACAGTAGGAAGGCACAGTCGCAGCATCGCTTCGCGGTATGTGACGAGTCTTCATGCGTCGGGCCGGAACCAGGGTCAACACGTTGAGACCAGTCGTGGTCATTGCGCCGAATCACATAGACGAGGCCAATGGGCCTCGAACGACAGCGGCGCGGTGCATGCCATGACCCAACATGCAGAGTGCAGCAAGCAAACAGGGAGCTCGAGACGAGGCTGGACGGGGATACACGCACCCTTCCTAGAAGGCGGCGGACGAGGTCCCAGGCCAACCATTTTGACGGGCGATGGCGGGGTTTGGAGGGGTAGCTCGACGAGTTGAGTGGGAGCTGGCTGAGGCGCGGCGGCACGGAGCGGGTATTCGCAGCAGCTGGATAGCCGGCGATGGAGCACAGGGCGACTTTGGTTCCGGGAGCGATGCTGAGACGGATGGAGGAGGGGGGAGGAGCAAGCGGTCAGAAAGAGCGAAGAAGAAGAGGGCTGCCCTGGACGTTGCAGCCGTCGCCTCAGGCTGGCTGGACGAACTGGTTGGGGGAGGGACTTGATCGAGGTGGGCGCCACACCTCGCAGGCTCGCCGTCACAGGCAGCCCGGACAACAGGGCACCTCAACGCGGCGGACGGGAGCAGCGGTGCGTACCTACTGCCGCTCGCTCCGCCCTGGGCAACGGAGCTCCCAGGCACGCGCCTCGCCTTACCTCCAGTGGGGGCGACCAGGGTCGGCGGCGCTGCTGGAGCGCATCCGGCCCCGCAGTGGGTGCCAGGTGTACCTATTGTGGCGGGGGAGACAGCGCCTGACAGTGGAGGAAGGCGTCTTGGACGTGCACCAGCCGTGCCATGCCAGAGCCAAGCCAGCACACCAGCCGGTCGAGCGTCGAGCCACTTCAAGGTTCACCGTGGCGCCCTGCGGGGCTCGCTGGCCAGCGCTGGGCCTTTCCACGTTCCACCTGTAACCACAGGCCCATTCTCGATTCCCGCATCCCGCCCACAGCCAACGCGGACGGAAGCTGTCGTCCGCGACCGCCGGGGACCCAGCATCGGAACCTCGCCCGGGAGTGCCGGGTCATCTTTGACGACCGAGGAGGTCCCGGCGGGTAACAAAAAGTGTCGTGGCAGCCCGAAGTCCCGGGCCCGGCACCGTCGCAGTATATACATGACTCAATGCGCGCAATTGCAGGTCAGGCGTGGTGTTGGTGGACATGAGAGTTGACGTTTCACTGTATGTCAAGGTGCTTATCGCCGCTTTCGGCCAAGGTAGGTACCTGGCCTGCGTTCCAGGTTCCAGGGTCGTCGTCTTTGTCTCGAAGGTCCCTTGAAAACAGAAGGCGCCAGAAAGCTGCAGGCGCGGAAACTGCACGGCTCTTTGTTCTCACAGTCGCAGACGGCTCTCTAACAGGATGCACGCCCGGCCGCAAGACGTCGAGGTGCCGGTGCAATTTGACCCGCCATGAGGTGTTGATGCCACAGCGAGTCCAGCCACAGCCAGTGCCTGAAGGTGCTGGGGCGGCTCCCGCTGAGTGCTCCCACTGTAAGTGCCTGGGCCCGCCCGGAGCGGACCAACCTTTCCCCATCGAGCTTGCGAGGCACCGCGCCCTGATTGGCTGCGCCCAAGCTCCCAGGGCGGGCAGCTCGCCTCACCTCACTGGGCTGCCGCCAAAGGGGCAACGTGTGCAACTCCAGGCGCCGTCTCGTGTAGAGGAAGCTAGCTTGTTGGCGCAGCGGCCACGACACTTCCACCTCCATCCTCATCCGCCCCATCACACCGAACGGACGGACGCAGTCAATGAGTGCGCTCTCCCTCCGCTCGTCAACATGAAGCCCTTGTCACTCGCATCGGCGCTCTTTAGCCTGCTGGCGACCAGCGCCGCCGCCGCCAACAGCTCCCCCTCCGCCGCCGGGTCCCGGTCCAAGGTGACGCTGCCCGCCGAGTTCAAGCCGCCCCAGGTCTTCAAGAACGCCAATCTCGTCCACATCGTCTCGCTCGAGAAGAACTACGTCAAGGAGCAGGTCAACGTCCTCATCGAGAACGTCTCCAAGCAGCCCCAAGATGAATACTACCTGCCCTTCACCGCGGACCAAATGTCCCGAGTCGGCGGCTTCGAGGTCAAGGACCGCAAGGATACCACCGCCGGGCCGTTTGTCGCCGAGCGAGTCGAGTACGACCCGAACAGGTGCGGCTGTTTTCGCGTGTGCTATGCCTCTTCCTCCCTGCTAACAATTGACTTCCAGCGACGTTCAGTACTTTCGCATCCGGCTCCCCGCGCCGCTAAAGGCCGGCGGCCAGCAGACCCTCGGCATCTCCTTCTACGTCCTTAAGGCCTACAGCCCCCTGCCCGCGTCCATCAAGCAGGACGAGCAGCAGTACCTCGTCTACGATTTCTCCGTCTACGCGCCCTCGGCGTATCCGACCCTGAAGCAGAAGACCGAAGTCAAGGCGCCGTCCTCCTCAATCCCTGACTATACCAAGATTGCCGGCAAGGATGGCAAGGGGTCGCCTCAAAAGCAGGGCTCCAAGCTCACCTACGGACCGTTCGACGAGAAGCCCGCGGGTGCCGTGTCGCCCGCGAGCGTCCGCTTCGAGTTTACCAAGTCGGTCCTGCACATCGCCAACCTCGAGCGGGACATCGAGGTTAGCCACTGGGGCGGCAACGTCGCCTTTGAGGAGCGATACACGCTGATCCACCGCGGTGCCAACCTGTCGTCGCCTTTCAACCGGGTCAAATGGGCCCAGTCGCAGTACTTCAACCCGGCGAGCACGGCTCTCAAGGAGATGCGCTTCCCGCTCCAGGTCGGCAGCGTGGACCCTTACTTCACAGACGCCATTGGCAACGTGTCGACGTCTCGCTTCCGCAGCAACAAGCGCGAGGCTCTGCTGGAGCTGAAGCCTCGCTACCCAATCTTTGGCGGCTGGAAGTACCCGTTCACCATTGGCTGGAACTCCAACACTGCCAACCTGCTGCGCAAGACGGCCTCCGGAGGCTACGTGCTCAAGGTTCCGTTCATGGAGGGACCCAAGCAGGCTGAGGGCGTCGAGTACGAGCAGATCAACGTACGGGTGCTGCTGCCGGAGGGTGCTTCGTAAGTCTAACATGTTTGCTGTCATCCCGGATCGTAACTGACAGCGTAACAGAAATGTCAAGGTGTACACGGGCGTGCCTGAATCATCCATCACCGAGTCCTCGGTGGGTGTTCACAAGACATATCTCGACACGATCGGCCGCACGGCGGTGACCATCAAGGCCCGCAACCTTGTGGATGAGTTCCGGGACCGTGATCTCATCATCTCGTACGAGACATCGCTATTCGATACGCTGAGGAAGCCCTTCATCGTCTTCTCCAGCATGATGACGGTGTTCGTGGCTGCCTGGGCTGTGAGCAAGGTGGAGGTTGGCTTTGCGAAGAAATGAGCGACGCGAATGCGAGGGACAGTGGACCCATGGATGCGGAACCGGACATGTTTGGCATGGAGATATGATCTCGTGGCATGTACACTGTAACATCAATCGGCGTTTTAAAATGCGACACACATGATAGACCGGAGTTGCTGCTCTGTGACGAAGTGATGTTGCATAGCCGGGCAGTGACGGCAAGATGGCTTGGAGACGGACTGGATGTCGCCGTGCCTGCAACGGGATCCGCCGATGGTTTTGGCTATTGATATATAGCATCTGGGCCGGCTACTGTACCATCAACGTGGAATTACGTTGTATGAGCTGCAGGTTGGTTCGTAATTGGCATTGGGAGGGTACGAGGAGGGCGACGAGGGGCGACGAGGGGCGACGAGGGTCAGACGCGATGATGATGATGGGGGGTTTTGGTGGTGTGGGGAATGGGGATGCCCGCAGCCGCAGCTGGCCATAGCCACACTTGCATGCATGGTTCCATTGACAAAGAACCAGGAGGGAGGCTGGTGGCCTTGCGAGCAGCCTTGCATCGGGGCACGACGGGGTGAGGCAGGCCACCACCACGGGTGCTATAAGATGACGGGCTTTTCCTTTGGGGACGAAATGCTTGGCCATTGACTCGCTCTTTGTGCTTCCCTTTATTGCCCGTCAGCGTTCCGCTCACCATACACCACACACCCACGACCCCGAGCGACCTCTGTTGTCGACGCTCGCCGCACACGTCTCACTCTATCCATCCATCCATCCCCATTGTCTAGACAGACTACGAAATAAGCCCGCCATGTGCTTCTGGGGCGAGCCAAACACAAAGTACTACTACCACGAGGAGATCATCCCCGCGCGGCGGCACAACGGGCACCACCATCACCATGGCGGCCACCACCACCATCACCACCACCACGGGCACTCGCCGCGGGCGAGCTACACCAGCGTGACGAGGTCCCGGTACAGCAGCAGCAGCCCGCAGCTCGGCGGGGGGTACTACCGGCCGGCGTCGACGGGGCCCGTGGTCATTGAGGCGAGCCCGCGGCATCGGTACTAAGTTGGCCAGGCGGCCAGCAGCAGGCCGTGTGTCTCTCGACGGATGGACGCCATGCCCGCGTCTGGACATTTGCGCCGGACGATGGACGACGACTGCCGGATGCTACTCTGCATAGACCCATATCTCTGGGATTATTACGTCGCGCGTGGGGTGGTGGTGGTGGTGGTGGTTTACCTAGCGGACGGTAGCTGCCGGATGGGCCGGCGGGCGCGGGAGAGACGTCATCGCCTGTAGCGGCCGGGGAGAGAGGCGTCTTGCTCTGGGGAGGCCCCCGTGGACGAAGTGAACGAACGACGAGCCATGACTGAATTTTTCTGTTATTTGTATGATTTGTTATGGATTTTTTCTACTCTACGAGAGGACGGGCTACAGGTCGGGCAACACGTGTAGAATGGCGTTGGGAAAGGGGACAGGGAAGGCTTTCATGATGGTCATAGAGGGTCGGAAAAGACCGAGACGGGAACGAACACACGCACACATCTCAAGCATACAACGTCTCTCTAGTTTTGCCTGCAGCCCGTTGCCTCGTGTCTGAGTCTTTGCATATTCGCGGGCGGTCGCCAGGCTGCCCATTCAGCCCATCCAGCCAGCCAGGCCAGCCAAGCCAACAAGCCAACTTCTTCAGCAGCACGCCCAGTCATCTGTCCCTCCAAGCCCGGCCATCCATCCAGTCGAGCGCACGGCGCGAGCGAAGAAGCGGGTGGTGGCGCAAGGCAATCGTGCAGCCGAACCGGCCAAACCCAACTCGGCGGGGTCAGCTTGGTTCTTCTGGAGAGCTTCACCGGGCAATGACATCATGGCGCATTCCGTCAACCACCGTCACCACCGGACGCGGGCCGGCCTGGGCCCTTGCCATCATTGCCATGCCTGGCATGCCCTGCCGGCTGCCTGTCTGCCTGTCTGCTTGCCAGAATGGGCACCCCCAGCCCCAGCCCCAGCCTGATGCTCCCATGGGGCGCCGCGAAGCTTGTGCTGTGTGCCGACGGTTTTGCAAGCGTGCACGCCCGCGCAGCAGCAGAGCAGCCCCCCCCCCCCGGGAAGCCGTGTGCGCGAAACCGCCGTGCCCGTCTCGAGGGGAAGCAGAGGGGGCCCTCCCGCGGGCGGTGCGGCCAGCAGCGACTACGTAACGGGCGCCGTAGCTTCGTCGCAGGAGGTGGGTTCCTTTACGTATCTCCGTCTTAAAGTCTGTTGAGCCCGTGCTATGTGTGTGTGAGGTGGTGGAATAAGGTGTATATCCCCTCCCCCGCTGCCCGCGCCTCTCCGACAGAACAGAGGACCGTCACTGCCGAGAAGTCCATCTCATGTTCCTCGCCTGACCTGCACCCGTCACAGCTGCCTCCCGCCTCCACGCTACATCAACCGTGACGTGACCATCTCGTCGAACAGAACGCGAATAACAAGAAGAAGGGCAGATTGAGCCCGATTCACCCTGTACGTGCTCTGCGACGCTTCACCTGGCCGCCTTCAGCTTCAGCTTCTTGCGCAGTTGCGCAGTTGCGCTGCCGTCGCAAGTGGCGGGCGGTCGCGCCTGCTCCCTTTACATGGCAATGGCTTACAATGGGAAGGGGCAGACAATTATCCGAACACGGTAGCTCCTGCGCATCCTTACCCGTCTCACGAACGCGCTGAACCTCCCCGAGCTGTCCCCAATGATGTAAGTGTCATGCTGCAACCCCTCGACATCACCTCTACGCCCGCCATGTCCCGGTCGTCCGCCTTCGACGGTGCCTTCTCGCAGTACATGCCCGGCCACCGGCGTTACAACAGCAGCACCGTGGCCGGCACCGAGTCCAGCGTCGCTAACTCGCCGCCCGCGTGCAGGAACCGCGCCCTCTCCATCCGCTCCGGCGGCAAGTCCAAGAGCTCCGGCTCCGGCGGCTCCGGCGGCCGCACCGGCTTCTCCTTCAGCTCCCTGCGCGGCCAGGTCCAGCCCGAGCTGTCGCGCCGCCTCTTCCGCCTCATCAAGTCGGAGAACAACCTCATCACGGCCCACGAGGCCGCCGGCCGCGAGCGCATCTCCATCGCCCAGCAGCTCTCCGAGTGGGGCGAGCAGACGGGCGACGATGGCATCAGCGACGTCTCGGACAAGGTCGGCGTCATCCTCAGCGAGATGGGCGAGCAAGAGGACACGTACGCCCACGCCCTCGACGAGTCGCGCGGCCGCCTCAAGTCCATCCGCAACACGGAGAAGAGCGTCCAGCCCAGCCGCGACGGCAAGGCCAAGATTGCCGACGAGATTGGCAAGCTCAAGATGAAGGAGCCCGAGAGCGCCAGGCTCGTCGTCCTGGAGCAGGAGCTCGTTAGAGCCGAGGCCGAGAACCTCGTCGCCGAGGCCCAGCTGACCAACGTGGTACGTCTCGACTCAGCGCTTGCTCGCCAATGTCTCAACTGAGCTCCCTTTGGCTCGCGGCGACGACGACGAGAAACACTGACCTTGCTGACGCACCCGCCTACTAGACCCGCCAGAAGCTCAAGGAGGCGTACGAGGCCGAGTTCGCCGCCACCATCGAGCGCGCCGAGAAGCAAATCATCCTCGCCAAGCACGGCCGCCGCCTGCTCGCCTTGCTCGACGACACGCCGGTCGTGCCCGGCGACGACCGCCAGCCGTACGCCTACGCGCAGCAGGCTCGTCAGGTGCTTAACGATTGCGAGGACGACCTCAGGGATTGGCAGCCGGATCAGGAGGGGTACACGCTCGAGGAGCAAGGCTCGGCCAAGGGCAAGGAGAAGGTCGCGGACGAAGGGGCGGCAGTCAAGGCCGAGGACGCCGGCGCGAGCGAGATTGAACTCCACAAGGGCACGTCCATTGCCGCGGCGTGAGGCGTTGTGGATGAATCATGATTTGAAGGGCTCGAGGTGGGCTGGACAGGTGGTGTATTGATTTGCGGCGCGACAGTCGTTTTACCTTGGCTGATTTATGGCTTGTCTGGACTGGCCGCTCCCGCCTATGCAGGGTAGCTCTGCTGTGTACTCTATATTTTCATTGACTTAGCAACGCAAACCGTTAGTTCTTGCCAGGACATCCGTGTCGCAGATGCACATGGATTTGGCCGCCGTTCATGACGGTCTGGCGGTGCATGCGAAGGTGGCGCAAGGGTACACTTGGGCACCTCCACGTCATGTCGCGATGTTGTGCGATGCGACAGTGTCATGTCTTTGGCGGCAGACCAAGTTTGAAACAGTGAGACGAGCCAGTGGCATCGGCTGGCTCAAGCTGTCAATATGAGACTTGCCTGTCGAGGCAATAACGACACGTCGTGGTTCATCAGATGCTGTGGATGCAGTCGAGCGCAACACCTTGCATCTACTGTATGTACGTATGTACTTCGTACATTGCGTACCAAACAGGAAATGTTAACCGTGGCAGCTGCAGGCACATGCCGTCTGCATACTGACGTTACCACCCAATGGCGTGTGAGTAGGCAAATAGTACATGCATCCACGCTGTCTGTCTGGGCGGACGATCAGAGAAGAGATAGGCGTCCGGTCGTGTTAGTAACGTGGCTGACTGGGCAGCCTCGGTGGACGCCTCGCAATCGCCGCGCTGGCCACCAACCAAGGACGCACGACGCTGGCTGGCTGGGCCGCCATGCCATTGCGTGCTCATCGCCATCGGTCGGATGGGGCATCTAGTCGCATGCCCGCCCACAAAAAAACACCAATGCGGGAAAAAAAGGCCAGGAAAACTGCTGTCGAATGGGAGCAGCGGTGGACGGGCCATCGCCCTGCTGGCACGTCGCACCGTGCAGTCGAGCGATGCTGTGACTGCCTGGAACGAGCCTCAACAGCACAAACTGGGGGGCGGAGGAGAGGACGAGGAGGTGGAAATCAGATGCCCGCCCGCAAATGCCGGCGCCCAGGAGGCGGCTCGGGCCCCGGGATGACTCGGGACAGAGGGCCGCGCTGGAACCGGGCGGCTACCCTGGACCCGAGCCGTTCGGCCCACCCGCACCGCGCAAGGGAACGCCGCCACCCCTAATTCCTCCGCCCTGCTGGGGGGCGGGCGCAGGCGTTCGTCCCAGCGACCCAGGCAAGCCAGGCGAAACAAACCTTCCAGGGAACCAGGGGACGGAGCTCAGGGCCCGACGACCCACGAGGCAAAGGCGCAAACCCAAAAAATATCCGCTGTGCCGGCACCAGCAGCAGCACCTGCACCTGCGAGCCTGCCCTCCGACGGGGACTGTGGACACTTTACCTCGGTCTGCGCGCGCTCGCGCTGTGCCCAACAACCACACCCACATCCGCGACGACGAGCCGGCCCTCGGTGCCCGCGCTGCGACCTAGGCGGAAACCATGCTGCGGCCGCCGTGCAGCTCTGTTATTTCTGGGCCGCCGCCCTTGCCCAGCCGCTCTCGCAGGCTCGCCGTCGTTGTCGCCCTCATGTTCGTGCCCGCCGCGCCCGCGTACACGTCGTCGTCGTCTCCATTTGTCCGGCAGCTGCAGCAGCAGCAGCAGCGTCTCCTCCACGGCACCGCCCGTCGCCTGTGGTCCCTGTCGCCTTCGCCCTCGTTCACCTGTCCTCGTCGCCAGGCCAATCACAGCCTCGCTGCGCGGCACTGCTGCGGCGTCGTTCCCTCGCGAGGTCTCGTGCTGCTAGCATCGGCGGCATCAGCACCAGCTCCATCTGCTACTGGCTCTTTGGGCGGGACGCTGACGAGGCCCGGCAGACGAGCGTTGCCAGGCGGCAGTAGCACGCCAGGCCGTAGCACCACCACCACCACCTGCGGCAGGAGCATCAGCAGCAGCAGCATCCGCAGCAGCAGCAGCGCAGCAACCCCTGCCGCCCCTGTGGGTGCCGAACCCAGGCCCAGCGCCGGCGCCAGCGCCCGCACCCGCACCAGCACCACCGCCCGCGACTTCTCTGCACGCACCAGCGGCGGCGGCGCTCTCGCTGCTGCGGCGACTCCTGGGTTCCATATGGGTCTACGTGCCCCGCCCCCTCCATCCTCCTCCCACCGCATCAACACCTCGTTCGCCTCTGCTGCTGCCACCACCGCCAACCCTCTCCTCTCCTCCTCCCCTTCGCAAATCTCTTCACAGAGGACGGCCCAGATCGCCCGTCACCTTGCGTCGCCCGCGTCCACCCGCCAATTGCACTCGACCTCGTCGTCCGCCTCGTCTGCCTCGCCCACCATGGCCTCCCCTTACAACCTCCGCAAGGTGGCCGCCGCCAACACGCTCGAGCACCGCGTCTACATCGAGAAGGATGGCGTCCCCGTCTCGCCCTTCCACGATATCCCCCTCTACGCCAACCAGGAGCAGACCATCCTGAACATGGTTGTCGAGATCCCCCGGTGGACCAATGCCAAGCTCGAGGTGCGTTTTTTTGCCTGCCGTTTGACCCCTTTCCCCTCTCCCGCGCCCATTGCGCTCTTTCGTCCGCTCGGGCTCCCGACGGGCCAATATTCAGCGCACATTGGGCGTGGTCCTCCCTCGTATCCCCAATCGTCATACCCAAGCTTCTCGTGACCCCCACTAACACGCCTCGCGCAACGCAGATCTCCAAGGAGGAGCTCCTCAACCCCATCAAGCAGGACATCAAGAAGGGCAAGCTCCGCTACGTCCGCAACTGCTTCCCCCACAAGGGCTACCTGTGGAACTATGGTGCCTTCCCTCAGGTACGCCTTCGCTGCGTCTGTGTACGTTGACACGCAAGCATCTGACTCCGCCACAGACCTGGGAGGACCCCAACGTCGTCCACCCCGAGACCAAGGCCAAGGGCGACAACGACCCTCTCGACGTCTGCGAGATCGGTGAGCTCGTTGGCTACACCGGTCAGGTCAAGCAGGTCAAGGTCCTCGGCGTCATGGCCCTCCTCGACGAGGAGGAGACGGACTGGAAGGTCATTGTCATTGACGTGAACGACCCCCTGGCCCCCAAGCTCAACGACATTGAGGACGTCGAGCGCCACCTGCCCGGCCTCCTGCGCGCCACCAACGAGTGGTTCCGTATCTACAAGATCCCCGACGGCAAGCCCGAGAACCAGTTTGCCTTCACCGGCGAGTGCAAGAACAAGAGGTAACATATCCTTTGGTAGCGAGATTTGTCAATTAGCGACTGACAGTACTTGTAGCTACGCCATGGATGTCATTCGTGAGTGTGGCGAGGCCTGGGAGCGCCTCATCACCGGCAAGACCCCCGCCGGCGGTGTCTCCATGTAAGTCGATTCTTGACGTCAGTATGGGGGAGCGATTTCTAACAGCACCAGTGCCAACACCACCGTCTCCCGGTCCCAGGGCCGCCTGGCGCCTGAGCAGCTGCCTGCTCTGCCCCCTAACCAGGACCTTCCCCCGGAGAAGATTGACAGCTCCATCGACAAGTGGTTCTTCATCAGCGGTGCTTCGGCTTAGAGAGGTTGCTGAATCGTACAGCGAGGTGAACGAATATCATGAACGAGTAAAAGGCAGGGCTGCACACATGTGCCACCAAGCATAATATACAAAAGTTCCGAGGTGTCTAAATATGGTACATGTCTTTGGACTTTTGACCGTTGTGTAATCCTGCTCCGTGAAACGCCGGCGATGCAAATGCAAACTGTCGTGGTGCGTGATTTTAGTCGGTAAGGTCGGCGACCTTTTGCAATTGGCGAGAGTGTCGGTCGACCTCTTCGACGAGGCCCTTGATGTTGATCTTGGAGCAGTTGAAGTCCATTTCCTTGCCGTCCTCTGCCGCAGGTTAGCTCTCGTCTGTGAGTATCGCAACTAGGCTCGTGACATACTGAATTTGACCTTGACGGAGCTGGGCTCGGTAGACGTCCGGGGAAGCAGGGTCGTGTGGATGGCCGTGCCGTTTGACCGGGCGTTGGGAGGCAGGAAAGTGAGGAACAGCCGGGCGGGCTTTGCACAGGCCGAGAAGGGGTTGAACTTGGCCGTGACCTCGGTCATGAACTTGGTGATCATTGCGGCGGACGGGTGCGCAGCGCGCAGGGTATCTCTGAGGAGAAGAATTGGACTCGGACGGATCGAATTCGAGATGCGCGCTCCCCTGTCGGACCTCTGGGTTTGGCTGCGAGCCGCCAGTTCGGATGGTGTCGCGATGGGAAAGATTGCAGTCACGTGCCGTCGGGTGGGCTGGTCCCTTGCAGTGGTGCTGTCTGACTGGTGGCAGCGGTCAGCGGGTGCCGGGCAGGCAGGCGGTGGGCGGGTGCCTGAGGGGACCAGCCATGGGGGAGCTAACAAAAATATCCCACCGCGAGCGTGCGGGCAGCCCGTTTTTGCTTTCCTCTTCTCCCTCAAGCACCGCCCTCTGAACAACGCCACGCTTCCATGCTTCCAAACGGAGATGAAATCTTTCGAGGACATCTCAGGCCCCCTTTCCTTCTTCTCCTTCTCCTCCTCTGGGGGGCAGCAAGGGGGAGGGGGGAGGGGGGCCGCCCAAACCACGCATGTGAGAAATTCGGAGTAACATCTTCACCAAAGACCACACCACCCGCAGTCGTGCCCTCGCAACCGCGTGGGCAAGGACGGGGATGCGTGTCTGCCCGTGAGGGCCCGGCGTCACTCGACGCCCGCAATACTGGCATCAGAAATATCAGGGGGCCCGGGTTCTCGAACACCGTGGTTTTCCCCCTCTGGGAAGCCGTTGCGAAGATTGTGTGTTGACACTTGAGTGCGATGCGTGGCGTGGCCTGCGGGGCGGGGGGGTTCTGCCTCTCCCTCCCGGGCCATGATTCGATTCCGATTATTCTGCTCAGAGGGCGGTGCTTCAACCTCTTTTTTCTCTCAGGTGAGTTATCAATCTGATGAAGAAGAGGGGGCAGTGCTAATGATGCTTCTCCCATCGAGGAGAGGCTGTTGGGGAAGGGAGACGGGGCAGGGTCAGGGAGGAGTTGGCGGTGGGCATGGTGAGGAAGGGGCCAATATTGGAGTGGGAATCTGCTTGCCATAGACAATTGGAATGGTATGGGGTCGAGCTGTACCTTTTCGCTTCATGTTTGGTGTGATTGTTGAATCGTCGATATTGTGACTCAACCTCGCGACGCATTGGTGACGGAGATCAGCTCCAGGCAGCCCACAGACAGCGTCATCGCAATACACACAATTCCTCCGTGCCTCAGCGCCTTATGGATATCTACGAGGCTGCAAGTTCGCAATCACAATGCAACTACCGTGTCGCCCGGTGATGGAGATATCGAGCTGCAGTTGAGCTCGCAAGCTTTCTCTTTTTTTGTGGGTCCTATGACCACGACGTCCGCGCCCAGCCAGACGTCACCAAACCCGCTACTCTCATAACCCCCTTAGCGAAGCTGTCTCAACTGGCCACGAGGCATCGTCACGACTTCACGAACAAACAGCCACCTCGGCAACCTGCACGCATCTCTCGCCCTGGGGGTTTGCGCCCGCCCGCCCGCCCGCTTCGACTACCCGACATCTCTCCTTTGGCCGGAACAAAACACCGTCGCCGTCTCACCGCCGCAATGTCCCTGGAAGGGCTGCAGGAGCGCCTGACGGCCCTGCAAGAGACCACGTCGCAGCTGCGGGACCTCATCGAGCGGCTCGCCAACCTCAAGTTCCAGCCGGGCTCGGTCCCGCTGGGCACCGACGAGGAGGGCAGCCCGAGCGGCGAGCTGAGCGCCGAGATTGGCCAGATCCTGCGCGGCGGCCTGGAGGAGCAGGAGCTGCTGCGCGAGGAGGCCAGGTTTGCAAGGCCCGAGGGCCATGACAAGGCGCGCCTGACGGAGGGTGTGGAGAGGCTGGGCGGCGAGCTTGTGAGGTATGCGAGTTTCCTCTCGTGCTGTCCTCCCCCGGGATGGTGCGCAGAGCTGGTAATGGGGACGGACGGATGCTGACGGAGGAGTGTACTACAGCTATCGGGCGGCCTTTCGAAAGGCGCGGCTAGCCGCGAAGAAGAGCCTCGAGCAGGCCCAGAGACAGGAGCGCGCGCTCCTCATACAATCCTTTTCCGTGCCCGTCTCCGAAGCCGCCTCTCCAACAGGCACGCCATCCAGCGACGATGCCGTCCTCGGCGCTCAAGCACAGCTCCGCTCCACCCTCCGCCAACACCACCACCAGCACCACACGCAGCACCAAAAGTCGAGCCTCTCCCAGCAGGACCAGCAGACGGTCGGCGCGAGCAGCAACGTGACGGACGCGCTGCGGCGCACGCACGACCTCATCGCGGCGGAGCTGGCGCGCAGCGAGTTCGCGCACCAGACGCTCGAGGAGTCGTCGGCGGCGCTGCGCCAGCTGGGCGAGTCGTACGCCTCGCTCGAGGGCATGCTCGCGCGCTCGCGCGACCTGCTGGGCGCGCTGCTGCGCTCCCAGAAGAGCGACACGTGGTACCTCCAGACGAGCATGTACATGCTGCTGGCCACGGGCGCGTGGCTCGTCTTCCGCCGCCTGCTGTACGGGCCCGCGTGGTGGCTCGTCTGGCTGCCGCTGCGGCTCGTCTTCGGCGTGGGCAGCAGGGCCGGGAGCGCCGTCATGCAGGGCAGGGGCAGCGGCGGTGCGGGCGAGTCGGGCAGGGCGCAGGTCGGGCAGCAGGACGGCCGCGAGGGGCTGCCCGTGGAGGGCTTGCCGGACGAGGACCTGCCGACGGCGAGGGTGGGACGGGACGAGGAGCGGGCCGGCGAGGAGGCGGACCCGGATTCCATGGTTGAGCAGGTGGGCATGATTATCGACGCCGCGAACGAGGCGGACGAGCTGGGGTCCATTCCCGACGAGGAGGACCAGCCGCGGAACCCAAAGAAGCGCATGTGGGAGGAAGAGGAAGGCGACTCGCAGGTGCCGTCTCAGGGGGATGAAGCACACGTCAGAGACGAGCTATAGACCACACGACGAAATACATCACTGTGAATCCAAGTTCTCGAAAACCATGCCCGGTCTATGTTCTCGAAACCCACCCCGGTTTATTCAGCTGGGTCGTTGCTCCCAGGGCCTGGCTTGTTGAAGCCACGCACAACCACATATATAAAAGTCCCAGGCTCTCGCTTTCCCCAAGCCGAGCACACCGCACGCCTAACTAACCCCCAGGTAGTTGATATCTACACTTTTAAAACTCCATTCATGACCTCATGCCGGCTTAGGCCTGTCTAGGAACGGTCCGGGGCGATGCGCGGAATGTCGCTGACCCAGGGGATGCCAAGCTTCCTCATCTCCACAGCCAGCTGGAAGAGATAGTCGAGGCTTTTTGGGGACACAGTCAGCGCCGGCTTCGGCAAAAGTTGCAGCTCACTGCTGTTCGGGGGGAAGCTGCGCGCGCAGTCTCTTACTCACCTCTCGCACTGCGTCTTGGCCTTGTGAACGTTGTCGCCCCAAACGTAGACGCCATGCCGGCGAACGAGAACGGCATACGTGTCCGGGAACTCCTCCATGGCGACCTCGAGATACTCGGTCAGGTCCTCCTCATGCGGGGTATTCTCGATGACGGGGATGCGCAGCGTGTCGTGGTACCCGAGGTTGCCCTGCTTGGAGGGCCCCTTGCCGAAGCCCTTGATCTGCTCAATGTTGTTGATCTCAAAGACGTTTCTTCCACTGCCGCTGCCGCTGCCTTGCTGCTGCTGTTGCTCGAGGAGGAGGGTGACGAGGACGGCCCACTGCGAGTGCGTGTGGATGCAGCAGCCGGCGCCGCGGCGGGTGAAGGCGGCGAGGAAGAGGGGCGTGCACTGCGAGGGCTTGTAGCACGGCGGGGAGCGCAGGTAGGTGCGCTGCCGGAAGGTCGGGTCCTGCTGGGCGGAGAGGGAGAGGACGTAGATGTCCGTGTTCTTCATGAGCTCCTTTTGCACGCCCGAGGGGGCGATGTAGACGAGGTCACTTTATGTGCCCTGTTAGCATGGGCTCGGGATGTCCTCGACTGTTCAAGAAAGCCAGGAGCAGCAGCACGGACATCTGGGGAAGGGGGCGCGCTCACTCATCGCGGATGGAGCAGCCGCCGCCGGTGCCGGTGACCCAGCCGAGGGTCCAGAACTTGGCGCAGAGGGAGGGGATGAGGTTGGCGGGGTGCTCCGGGTCGGCGGAGGTGATGAGGCTGTCCGGGTCCGAGGCGACCACGGCGTCGGCGTCGACGCGGCGGCGCTTGTCCTGGGGCTCTTGGGTGGAGGCCATGGCTTGTCGCCCCGTGTGTCGTTTTGGACGACCGGCGGCACGAGCTCCTACGATTCTACGCGGGGAAGGAGGCGAGAGCTTGACGAGAGCGAGGTTGGGATTGAGGCAGACGTCACTGGCGGGGCAAAAAAGCTGCGACGAGGTTGAGGTGAAGTTGAATCCATGGTGGGGCTGCAACCACGCCTGCCGAGTGTGCAGCAGGGCCTGACTTACAGCGCGACACAGCAAGACGGCGACGATCCAGGCTGCACAGTCAATGCTGAATCAAGCTGGTGGCGGGCGCCGGTATAGCATCACCAACACGATACTCGCTTCGTGCGTGCATCATTTCCCACACTTCTCGCAGCAGACCGCGTCTAATGCCTCACAATGCGTTTGCCCATGGTCAATGGTAGCCTCCCCCTCGACGCTTGTGTCTGCTGTTCCGAGGAGGTGACGGGAGCCGGCCGCAGCACAACGTGCGTGGAGACACAGGCCAATTGGTCGGCAATTGGTCGCCGACGCCCATGACGACGAATGGAGGAGGCGAGGCGGCACATTTCAAGTGCTGACGGTCTGGTAATCTCGCCCACCGTCACCAGGTGACACCCGCGGCCGCCCTCGTCGTCGTGGTCGCTGCCGAGGCACTTCATTCCAGGGCCCCGGCGACTACAGCCTGGACCTGTGCCGCGTATGGTTCGGGCTGCTCGAGTGTGACGTCCAATATAACAATGACTTAATAATATTAGCATTGGCACCAGGACGCAGGCGCCCGACTCAGGTCAGCTTCCTCCGGCTGCGACCCTGGTCGTCTGCTGGCCGACGCGTCTCGAATGAATGCAGGGAGTCGGGACCGTGTCGTGCCGTGGCCGTCTTTGATCTCCGACGTGCGAACAAGTCGTCGCCGCTCAATTGGCTGCTCCTGACCGACGGTCATTGCAGAACGGTGCTTCGCGAGCAAGGGAACGGCATCAAGGCGCCTGGGTACTTACATGACTTAACCCATGCACCCGGGCGGGTAGTGACTGGGGCGAGTTCGATCGCGGCATCGGCAACCGACTGCCAACCCAACCAGCACTGCCACGATGGCGATGGCAATTGAGGCGAGGAGGGCACGCGACCAGGTTGGAAAAGGAGGTTGCAAGTTTGCCAGGTTCTGGCGTCACCAAGTCATGACTGTGTCAAGACCAGCCTGTTGGGGGTCAGTTGGCCGGGGCCTCGCGAGCAGCGAGCAGGAGCCCGCCTCGCGGCCGCCCAATGAACCCCTGGCAAAGAACCTTGGAAGGGAGCGGGACGAGACGCGACTGCCGTGGCAGGCGGCACCTCCCAACCTGGAAGTCGCGCCTCGCATCTCGCACCTGGCACCCGGTACCTCGTATTCCTGAGCGCCCAGCAGAAAGGAGGGAGGAGCCCAGACACACACACACAGCGACAACCAGGCCAAAGTCCAGGCGTCGGTCGTGCTGTATTATGTACCATGGTAATCTATACGGAGGGAGTACCACACAGAGTGCTACCAGGCACGGCATTGACTTCGTACAAAGGTGCGCTTGTGCCCAAAGTCTGTCACATCCCCCCTCTTCTGGCCCCCCTACGTACCTGGCCATATTACCCGCAAGCTTCTCCTCCTCCTCATCTCCCCACCCTCACGCTCTGCGGCGCCTCATCAACGGCAGGTGGTGGTGATGGTGGCGGTGGTGGTGCACGCCGCGGCCCCCATGCTCCCCGTCCACGTCCCCTTGGGATCCGTGCCCGCCGCGCGCCTGCGCCTACGCCTGCGACCTCGCCTGCATGCCCGTGCTGCCTGGTCCCGCACCAGTCGACGCCTCTCGCCACCAGCTTCGCTTCGTCGCGGAATGCGCGCTGTCGCGGCAACCAGCGCCTCCCCACGCACCGGAGCCTGTCCGGCAATAAACATGAGGCAAGACGAGAATTCCTTCCCTTCCCTCAGCACCACGCTGTTTTGCTCCAGCGCCGAGGCTGAGACATTGCAATACTTAGCGCCAAGAGGCCCTGGCGAAATGATGGGTCGAACACTCTCCGGGCAGGAGAAAAAGGACGGGCCAACGCCTTGGCCCGCAGCGAGCAGCCGAGCTGGCCAGCCCTGGCAAACAGGGAAGGGGATGATGGAAAAAAAAGCAACACGACAGGGGGCGGAGGCGCAAGGGCCGGGGACGTCAGGCGCGGTGGGGACGCAGCCGACAACACGAGCTTCTTCGCCGAACCTGGACGCTGATCGCACTCGACGCTTGCAATTTGCCTGCCACGACGAGCACGTCCGCCCTCCCTCTTATGTACGCCGTGTGCGAAGTGCCCGTGCTACAAAGGTCCGGACCAGGTACAAGATGTGCAAGGCCGTCGAATAGACTTTGGCCATTGTCCGCCCCTCAGCTTAGTCGCCCTCCTGGGCCAAGCCCCATGGCGGCCACAAACAGCCCATCCAAACCGCCGCCCTGGACGATGGCACGGCTAGGCGGATCGTGGCGCTCCGCGCGCAATTTCGCCTCCCCTCGGCTGGCCTGCCACTGGGCGCTTCCCCGGACGCTGCTGTTAGCTGCCCCGATCTGCATCAGTCGCGGACGTGAGACACGACGCTGCACCCTCTGCCCTGCTGTGTTGTTGTCGCTCCGAGCGATGGCACGGAGGACGTGAGGACATTCGCCGAACGGACGAGACCGCATGCGATTATGACGATTGCATTCGGACGGCCTGCGAGACAAGCAGGCCACTTGGGTCGGCTGCCATTGGGGCTCGGGCCCAATGTTTGGCTTGGCCGCTGTTGTGTTTGTGAAGCGAAAGCTCCGAAGCCGTCCTTGCCAGGCATCCAGCCGGGCCAGGTCTCCCCCCATCCTGTCCCATCCTGTCTGTCCCATGCCATGCCATGCCATGCCATGCCGGGCATGGGTGGATGGATGGGTCCCCCATCACATCGCCCCATCCCGCCCGCGGCACCCTTGCCTCGCCTTGGTTGTTGGTCAGAGCTGCGACGCCCCCCTGGCGAGCTACCGCCGCCTCATAAAGAGGCGCCAGGCCGGCGCGTCCAGCTCGTGGACCTGGTTTCCCTTTTCCTCCCTCTTCTGCAAGCTGTGACTGTCTCTCGTTACCTTTACGTTCACGTTCGCTACCGTGTCCAGTTCGTTTAAGACCCTTTTTTAATCTTGCATCAACCAAGCAGCCGCAAACATGCGTTTCGCTACCGTCATCCTCAGCAGCGCTCTCGCCCTCGTCGCCTCGGCCCAGAGCGACACCTCGGCCACCCAGCCCGCCACGCCCACGCGCACCCTCTCCCCTGCGGAATCGTCCGCCGCCGCCTGCCTCAGCGCCTGCAAGCCCGGCGATGTCGACTGCCAGTCTCACTGCATCACGGTCCCTAGCCCCGACAAGGACGCCGTCGACCGCACCACCAAGTGCGCCGCCGCCTGCGTCCAGGGCGACGGCTCCAAGGCCCAGACGGAGGCCTACGCCGCGTGCCAGCAGAAGTGCATCCGCGACAACTTCTACGAGTCGTCGGCCGGCACCCCCAAGCCCACTGGCGGCTCCGGCGGCTCTGACAACAACTCTGGCTCGTCGACCGGCTCTGATGCCTCCCAGACCTCGGGCGGCAGCGGCAGCGACTCGGCCAGTGGCACCGGCGCCACGGCCACCAAGAGCGGCGCGACTGGAACCGGCACCGCTGGCGGCAGCTCCTCTACGTCTACTGGTCTCGCGCCCATGCTGACTGCTGCCCCCGCCGCTGTCGTTGGTCTCGTCGCCGCTGTCCTCGCCCTGTAAATACCCCTGGTTTCTCTTGTTGTCCCCGCGACCGCTGGAGGGGAGGGGTGTTGAACTGGACATAATGACGGTGTTGCATTCTACTACATGTGAATATGGAGCAATCGATTCATGGACGAAGAATGGTTCGGTTTGGGTATGATGCCATGGAGTAGGGTGGAGAGACTCTGTGGGGGAGTAATAGGTACATGGAAGAAACCCTCGCAAACATTTTTCCTGATGCCCACGTTGTTGCCGTGATGGTGGTGAAGCATTGATGTCGTTGGAAGCAGTGGCTCTGAGTCTCCGACATTCCAGGTGATTCAGATGTGGCGGCGGGAACGAGTACGTCGGATGGTCGCCGGACGCGATGGGCCCCTGCGCGCGGACGAACCGTAGATGTCTTGCGACGCTCTGACGCGGGATCGACCGCCTCCAGTAAAGAAAACAAAAATCAAAATCAAAATCTGGCACACGCATGAACGTCGAGGCCATGGCGTCAAGTGCACGCGATTGTGTATCGTACTCAGTAGACGGGGTTAGGGGTGGCGATGTGTTGTCACGAAGAAGCAAGTCCCGTTGCCGGGCGGCGGGAGGACAAAGAAACACTCACATCATGCGCTGTAGGAAAGAACCATTGAAACTACCTAGTAGTAATACGTACTAAAATAACGGAGCTAGCTACTTACTCAAACAAATTTAACACCGGTTCCCGCAAGACCAAATCAATCAATCAATCAATCATCCGTCGTACATGAAACCAAAGGATCAATAACAACAAATCGCTGTCCAACTTTCCAAAGAAAACCCATCAAAAACGTACAAAGTACGTGCGCGCGCAGCAGCAGCAGCAGCAGCAGCAGCAGCAGCAGCAGCAGCAGCAGCAGCAGAGACGAACGACGACGACACTTTATTTCTTGGCCTTGTCCTTCTTGCCGGTCAGGGCGTTGAGCGCGCTGCCGAGGCCAAGCCCGTCGAGGATCTTGTTGAGGCCCAGGCTGCCGAGCAGGCCGTCGACGAGCCCGCCGAGGCCCAGGCCGCTGAGGAGCTTGCCGACGAGGCCGAGCACGCCGTTGAGCAGCAGGCCGACGGCGGCGAGGATCTGGAAGAGCGGCTCCGAGAGCAGGCCCCAGAGGGGGTTGAGCTCCTTCTTGGCGTGGGGCATGCCGTCGATCTTGCGCTTGGCGTTGTCGATGGTCTGGGTGACGGTTCCGGTGAGCTGTGGGAGAGGAGGAGGTGCGTGTTAGCTAGGGATCTGCATGGTGTGGAGTGAGACTCGAGTTGAGCGAGCGGGTGCGTGCCGTCTGCGAACAGAGCGGCGGCAGCACGCACACGTCGTCGTCGTCGTCGTCGACAGGATCATATCAGTGGCAAAGGGTGATGGATTGTCACGTACCTCCTTGAGCACGTCGGCCAGGTGGTGCTCCTCCGGGCTCGCGTCCTTGGTCGCCGACTTGTGCTTGGCGTTGCGCTGGATGCGGCCGTCAGGGTCCATGCCGCGGATCATGCCGTTGGTCTCGGTCAGGATCTTGGCGCCCTCCTCGATGAGGGGCTTGACCTCGCGGACCAGCTGCTCCTCGTCGAGGTCCTCCTTGTCCGTCTTCTCGGCCGTGTCGACCTTGTTGGTGATCATGGTCAGGATGGGGCGGATCTTCTCGAGCGACTGCTCGATGGCGCCGGCGAGCTGGCCCGCCAGCTTCTGGTCCTTCTCGGCCTGCTCGCGCGTCTTCTTGTCCTCCTCGGACTCGCCGGGGATGTCCTCGAGCAGCGTCACGTGGCCGACCGTGTTGCCCTTGGAGTTGACCACGTCGCCGTCGTCGTCGACCTCCTTGCCCGAGCAGATGCTGACGTCGCCGCTCGTCAGCTTGCCGAGGATGTGGCCGTCGTCGTCGAGCACGTTGCCCTCGCGGTTGACCTTGCGGCCCGCCAGGGGGTCGCGCCGCTTCTCGACCTCAGGCTCCTCCCAGCGCTCCGCCTTGCCCACCACGTTGCCGTTCTTGTCGACGACGTCGCCGTCCTCGTCGACGGACCGCCCGTAGAGCGTCTTGCCGTCGCCCGACGTCAGCCGCCCGACGACCTCGCCCGACGACGTCACCACCTTGCCCTCCTTGGTGACGGTGCAGCCCTTGAGCTCGGCAAAGGGGCCGTCCTTGGAGCCCTCGCGCTCGCCCTCCTGCACCAGCTCGGCCTTGCCGATCTTGTCGCCCGACTCGCTCATGATGTTCCCCTCCTTGTCGCACATGCGGCCGACCAGCGCGGCGACGTTGCCCTCGATGACGCGCCCGAAGATGGTGCCGTTGGAGTCGACCACGTTGCCCTTCTTGTTGACGCGCTTGCCCGCCAGCGCCGAGCGGTCGACGACCTGCTCGGGCTCCTCCTCGGGCTCGTCCCACGCCTCGGCCTTGCCGACCACGTTGCCGCGGCGGTCGAGGATGTCGCCGTCCTCGTCCACCTTGCTGCCCTTGAGGCGCTTGGGGTCGCCCTCGACGACGGTGCCGACCTGGCGGCCCTCGGACATGACGCGCCCGTCGGCCTCGACAACGGCGTCGGGGAAATTTTCGAACGGCGCGAACGACTTGTTGGAGCTCTCGCGCTCGCTGTCAGGAATGGGCTCCGCCTTGCCGACAATCTTTCCGGCGTCGTTCCAGATGTTGCCCTCTTCGTCGGCCGTCTTGCCCTGCAGCTTCTTGGCGTCGCCCTCGGACAGGCGTCCGATGATGTCGCCCTTGTCGTTGACGAGGTTGCCGGCCTTGTTGACCTTGGTGCCCTTGAGGACGGAGAAGTCGATGGGCGCCTCCTCGGCGGCCTCCTCGGCCTTTTCGCCGGCCTCCTCACCAGCCTCATCGGCCTTCTTGGCGGCCTCCTCGCCGGTCTCCTCGACCTTGTCTTGGGCGGCCTCGCCAGCCTCCTCACCTTCCTTGGTGACACCCTCGGCGGCGTCCTTGGCGTCCTGGCCCTCCGGGAGGTCGTCGCCGGGTTTGTCGCCCTCGGGGACGTCTCCCGCATCCTTGCCTGCGTCCTCGGCCTTGTCTGTGATGTCCTTGCCCGCATCTTCACCCTGGTCGGTGATGTCCTTACCAGCATCCTCGCCCTTGTCTGTGATGTCCTTGCCGGCCTCTTGGGCCTCGTCTGTGGGCTCCTTGGCCTCGTCGGTGGCGTCCTCTGCAGTGTCCTTTGTCTGCTCAGCGGCATCTTCAGTGGTAGCCTTCGTCTCCTCCGCGGTGTCCTTGGCCTGCTCGGTCTTGTCGCCTGCAGCCTTGGAGACGTCCTCGGTGGTGCCCTCGGCGGACTCGTCGATGGGCTGGGGGGCCTGCTCGGTCAGGTCATCCTGACCAACCTTCTCGGCGGGGGTATCATCTCCGTGGACAGTCTCCTTCTCCTCCTTGGTCTTTTTGCCAGCAGACTTGGCGTCAGCTGGGGGGGCCTCCTTGTCTTGGAGCTGGACGGGGGGAGGCACCTTGTCGTCGACGGACTCTGCGGTCTTGCCGGCTTCGTCCTTGACGGACTCGGTGGCCTTGCTGGCGTCGTCCTTGACGGACTCGGCCGGCGTGTCGTCGTCGCCGCCGCTTGACGGCTTCTTCGTCTCAGCATCATCACCCTTCTTGCCGGAGAGCTGATTGTACGCGTTAGCGAGGTTCCCCCCGAAGGCAAAGGCGGTCTTGAGGGGACTGCGTACACTGCTCACGGTCTGGGCGGCGCCCTTGGCCTTGCCGAGGACGTTCCAGCCGCCGGTGGTCTCCTTGGCGTCCTCAGTGGCCTGGGTGGTGTACTCGCTGTCGAGCGAGGCCTTGCCGAGGACGTCGCCCGACTCGTTGACGACATCTCCGGCGGCGGTGACGGAGCTGCCGACGAGGCTCTGCAGGTCCTTGGAGTCGGAGACCTTGCCGATGGCCTTGCCCGACTCGTCGACGATCTCACCCTTCTTGTTGACGACGCCGGCGGCGGCGGACCGGGGCACGGTCTGCGGGTCGGCGCCCGCGGCCTCGGGGGCGGCTGAGGACCGGGGGGGTGGCTGTCAGAGTCTAGACTTTGCGGGATGGCCCGAGACATTGGAACGGTGAACCAAACTTACAGACTTGGGGCTGCTTCTTCTCCTCGGCCGGGGTCGGGACCTGGGTCTCGGCCTCCTTGTTCTTTGTGACTGGCATGTTTGCGGATTTCAGACTTTGTGTAGAGTATGGCAGTCACACTCTTCTTGCTTCGTGTAAGACTTCTTCCAGCAAGCCCGCCGCCACGCCTGCAGCTCACCGATTTTATATGTCCACATGCCGGCGCCTAGCAAACAAGTTTTTGGGCACATGGAAGGGGGGGNCCATCCCATCCGACAGAGAGCATGTCATGGCATGGAGCACAAACGTCAGATAGCAATCTATTTTCCCTTTGCCCCAGTGGCCACGCCCGGCAGGCCGGCCGGCGTCTTCCAAGGACACGCCACACACGCTTGGGGGGCTCGGCTTGAAGCGAAGAGGATGGCATGGGGATGGTGCATGCACGCCAACGCGCGTCACTCTTTGCTGGTGCTGGTGCTGGTGCTGCCGCTGCCGCTGCCGCCACGGGGCCGATCATCGCGCGGCACGGCGGGCCATCTCACGGTGACGCAATGGCGACGGGCCATGCCACCAAGAGCAGGGAGCAAGGAGGGAAGGGAAGCACTAGCCACCTCGCTCGCCGGCTCCATCGTGATGCTGTGGCTGAGGCGTGCGCGCTCGTGGGCACGGCAAGGCAAGGCAAAGCAAAGGGCATCATCATCATCGCTGGGCTGGGGTGGTTGTCGCCATGGTGGGAAACTCTCAAACGCCGGCGCGGCGTCCAAGGAGGCGCCTTTGTGTCATACCGCAGGCGTCGTACAGGCTGACGTCCAGGCCGGGGCGGTCGATGGCGGTTGGAGGTTGGCTGCCAGAGGCCCGTTTTGGAGAACTTGGAGCCATGTGGGCGGCGGGTGCGGCGCTCCACCTTTTGCGTGACTTGCAGCTTCCTCTGTCACTCTTGCCTCTCAGCTGGCGTCTCCAGCCACAGAGATCGAGATTCGCCCAGCACCAAGCCCGATTCCTGCTGGCGGCCCCCGGCCTGTCGACGGCGCCACTTGGTGGTCAACAAACCGGTTTGCTGCTGCCGAACTTCCCCCCCTTGTTCACTCCTTGCAAGCCAGCAGCTCTCCCCCACAAGCCTCAGCCTCAGGTCAGGATCATCTCAGAAAACCTGCATGGCTGCCTTGGTGAGAGTCCCATCTGGCGTTCCATCCATCCATCCCATCTCGGCACAACTGCCACGACGAGAGCCTGATCCGCGCCCGCCATACGAGATACATGTCGCCGCTGTACTGTGGCGCAGTCGCGCTACGAAAGCTACAATGGCTGGCCCGTGACAGCCACACTTGCGCGGGGCGGTTTGTCGTTTGGCGATGGACGGGGGGGCGTGGTTGCATAGGGAACGCGGGCCTTTGGTGACATGCCTCGCTCGCGCGCAAACTGACACGACCGGCTAGCAAGGATAGCTGCCGCTGGGACCGCCTTCTGTCGGCAAAGGAAGGCCTGGACCGGACGCGTTGAGCTCGATGCATGCTCGATGCACGGCCTTGGTGCTACGAAGTCCTGACGCCGAGTCTTGAGCTCTGCCCCGCATAGCACATCGGTGAGGGACACCATGCGATTTCATTGAATTTTATTCATTTTTTTATTATTATTTTCCCCTCCTGATACACGGCTATCCGGGCGGCTGGCTCTGCGAGTCTCTGTTGAAGATGGTGGGTATCTTGATAATGAGTTGGATGCCGTCGCGCGTCGACTTGACATCCAGGTATATCTCCGACGGGCTCGGCGCGGCGGGCATGGGGCTCGGGTGGTCGCTGGCGCTGCGGTAGGGGATGTTGAACTGCGTTTCGTGATGCGTAGGGTGCGCCTGGGGCGGTGGTTGCGATTGTCCCTGTGGTTGTGATTGTGATGTGGATGGCTTCTGCTGCTGCTGTTGTTCCTGGCCTCGACCCTTTTCACCGCCGCCGCCACTCCTCTGCCCACCAGCACCCGCAGCAGACGCGCCCCCGGGATTGATCCTGCCCACGACCGCGCCGCTCTCATCGTGTATGCTGCCGTCGGCGTCGAGCGTGAGCCCGCACCCGAGCTCCTTGACGGGCGGGCGCGAGAAGTTCTCCGACACGTAGCCCGCGACGTGGCCGTCGGTGTCACGTATCCTGCCGTCGTAGTCGACGGGCCGCCCGATGAGCGACGGGAGGTCGCCCTCGGCGCGGCCCAGGACGGTGCCGTCCCAGCCCAGCACGTTGCCGAACTCGTCGACGAACTTGCCCTCGAGGCCGCGCGCGAGCACGGCGGGCGGCTCGTGCGAGGCGGACGACGGAGGGGGCGTGATGGGCTGGATTTTGGGGATGGTGATGGGCGGGTTTTCTTGGTATTCGTCGTCGTCGTCGTTTTTCGTCGTCTTCTTCTGCTCTGCATTCTCTTTGGGCTGCTGTTCCTGCTGTTGCGACTGCTGCTGCTGCTGCTGCTGCTGCTGCTCCTCCTCCTCCTGTCCATGCCGCGGCTTTGGTTCCTGCTGCTCCTTGTCCTTCCTGTCACCCGATGATATTGAGGAAGGGTCTGTGCTGGTGTGGTCGCGCTCGTCATACTCGTCGCCACCGTCGTCGTCGGAGCTCGGCTGCGACGCCGAGCGGGCGTTTTGGAACTCGCCCGACGGCGTCGGGGACGAGGACCGGGAACTCATGGCCTGTTCTTTCTCTTGCGACCCCGCGTTACGATTGAGAGTGATGTCCTTGGCGACGGGCCTTTGAGCGGACTGGGTCTTCTTCGCGACGCGTTGGAGTGATTAACGCGAAGGCAACAGCTGCAGAAGATGCTCTCAGGGTCCTCGCAGTGAGAGGGGGGAGACGCGTCTCACGGGTCGGATTTGCGCCAGGGCTATGACGACACAGGGGAGGCGTGTGCGGATGCTGCCCCCAGTGAAATGGCAATTCAATACGAATGTGCGTACAGCGTACTGTACACTTTACGGTGCCAAGGTACGCCGTGACGGTTTTGGTGGAGAAGGGAGTGGATGGCGTGGCCACTGGTTCCCATGGCGTTGAGCTATCGATTGACAACGTGATGCACAAAATCCCTTGACTCGCCATTGCACCTCTGCGCTTTGTCTTTCTCGCTAATTTTGCACGTGTACTTGTGAGCACGAATGCCTGCAGGCTCTGCAGCTTGAACAACCAAAAATGAGGCTTCCCGCGCCAGTCACCACTCGCACTGTCGGCGCGGCACTTCGTCGAGCGGCGCAGCGCCTTGAAGCTACCCGGTACGTACCGTGGGGAACGAGTCGTTCCTGCCCATTTGCCATGCCGTGCCATCCCAAACAATGAGGGGTGGGTGGGTGAGAGAGTGGAGGGGGTGTCCGGAGCTTTTACTCCCCTCCCCGCCCCGGGCGCCAGCCACTTAGCCAGGGGCCCTGCAACGTCGCCGTTCCCAAAGAGGAAATACGCCTGCCTCTGGTCTCCGCAACCCTACGTAACGCCTTTTTTCGATGAGCCGCGATCCGCAGCAGCAAGAAAGCGGGAAGCCAGGAAGCGGGCGGGCGGGCTAGGTACTGAGCACCTAGCACTCTGTTCTCTGCACTCTGCACTTGACTTGCGGCACAATCCGGCCGTGCGGCGGTCCTTTGGCGGCCCTGCTGTCTCTCTCTCGCGCGCGCGCCCGCTTATTTCCTCTTGTACCCCGCTATATCACGGCCTGGTCTCCCGCTTCCAGAAGGTGTCAGGCTTGTGTCATCGTGATCCGTCCTCCCAAGCGGGCGCCTAACGTCAACACCACGAGATCCTCTGTGTAGATTCCAGGCCCCTTTGCACGGTTGGTTCCTACGCCAGTGCTGGCGTGAGCAACTTGTGCAAGCCTCAACAGAAAAAGTAAAGGGAAAAAACGTGCGAGACACCACGCCGGCGGAGCCTGCCATGGGCCGCGAGTCGCGAGGTGCCCAAGCTCACCTTTCTCTTCAGTGGAGACGACGTTGGGGGCCCAGCCACGTCGAGGCTCTCAAAGGCTCCATCCACACCTCTCCTCCCACGTTGTGCACGTTGTCACTAACTAGTAGACAGTGACAGGTACTAAGTCTGTGTGTCTTGCCCGCCGTCGTCTGATCCCGCTACGCTGGGGCAGGCAGGCAGCATTACTCAGACTCTCAATGTTCTCGACCGTTGCGTGGCATGACCGCTGTTTGTCATGAGGCAGCGAAGGAAGCACGACGCGGGATGCCGATTTTGACAGAAGCTGAACGCGGCACAGTACCTTTCTGCTTGGACCCATCTTCTCGATCCTTATGACGACAGTTGGGACAGTCTCCCTGCCCAATGCGTCGAGCTGACGCCACACTCGCCGCAGAAAGAAGCCACGCCCAAATCCCTGTTTATCCATCCCATACCTTACCCACACACCACCGGGGCCTTTTGCCAGAGTACCTTGGTCGTTTGTACACACACCTTTTACTCGTAATTACTAGGTATCCATTATACGCTGCCTAGTTCATAACCTCTTCTATTCGTACACTCCACGTGAGGTTTTCACCCTCATGAATCCTCGTCTCTGACGTATTTGCTCTCCATGCCCAGCAGCGGGCGCCGGCGGAGGAGCATGGGCTGGCACGTCTCCACCCCGTCCTCGTCCTCGTCGTCTTCCTCTGCCGCGAGCAGCTTCTGCTCTGGGTCCCAGTACACCCCCCACCTCTCCTCTTCCCCCCGCCCTTCCGCTCCTCCATCGTCGTCGATGCTCTCCTCTCTCCGGGCCACGAACCCGCCCCGCCGCCCGCGCAGCGTCAGGAACGCCTCGTCCTCGCTCCATCCCCACGGGCCGATGACGTGACCCAGCGTGTCCTTGCGGGATCCGTGCTCGAGCCTGCCCGTCTCCGCGTTGACATAGATCCAGTTGAGCATGGGCGTGTCGTCCGACGCTGTGCTGACGAGGCCCAGGTGGCCTTCGTCGCCGGGGTACTTGAAGTAGAAGCCGCAGAAGCGGTGGCCCTTGGCTGGCGCTCCCGGGAGGTCCAGCCAGGCCTGTGGTTTTTTTCCCGAGTCAGACACCGTCCCCCGCTGCACACACCGGGGAGGGACACACCCCATGGCACTCACCTTTCCGTCTTTGAGGACGCAGAATCCCGTTTCCTTCCATTTGCCCTGTGTGCTGTCGTCGTCTTCGTCCCGCGCCAGCATGGCCGTCAGGTTGAACTTTTCCTGCTCCTTGGACGAGGCATTCTGCTTCTTCTGCGCGCTGATTGCCTCGGCGACCCCCGTAATCGTCGGGATGGACGTGATGGTGAGCAGCCCGATGACCATGATGCCGGGTGCTGTCTGTCTCTGGCGTGCAATAGGTGTTTCCAAGGTGAATGGCAGCGCTCTCTTGCCTTGGTGTAAGGGTGAAGCGGCAGTCTTGCCAGTATGACGTCTTCTTTTGAGATGTCGAAGCCTTGTAATAATCCCTGCTACGCAGACGCCCCCCCGGTGTCGCGTCCCCGTCATGTGTGGAGAGAGGCTTGTCAGTGTCAAGCCTTCTTGCCTTGCTTGGCCCACACAATGCCTCGCCGGAGAACAGGCCTCTCCAGCTTCCCACCCACCATTACCTGCCGACATATCCTCACGTACCCACAGTCTGTCACTTCGCTGTCGCCCTAGTTGTCACTCGCTGCCTTGGCCGGGGGACTGGAGTGCATGTCGGTGACTTGGAGGGGCTGCGGTAGAAGCCGATCATATCGGTCGATGGGCTGGCTGGGGGGGCGCCTGCGAAGCACCTTGCGTCATATGGCGTTGCTATTCCCATCACCCCGTGTGGCCGTGGCTGAACCCCAGTTTCCAACTCGGAGCGCCGGCCGCAAAACAGGTTGCGCGTGCATGTCGGCTATTCATCCAAGGACGGGAGTCATGCACACCAGGACGTCCACTTTCGTCACTGGGTTATGACATCAGAACGGGCCAGCCTCCTCGTAAAGGGGTCTGGAACGACATGATCAAAAAAGGGTCCTTTGCAACCCCTTCGGAAGATATAAGAGCTCTCCCATCCGTCATTTCACTCAAGTGTCTTTTCGTATCAAGTCAACCCCAAAGACCTCGAACATGGCACCACCAAACGTGAGTTGCACACCCGGCTCGCCATCCTCCTGGATGAGACCAGCCTTAGTCCAGAGTGAGCCGAAGCTAAAACTACATGCCATAGGAGGATCAAAAGGACGAGGAGCGCAAGCCCCTCAACAACGAGGGAGGCGACGACTCCGAGTTTGAGGACGCCGAGGGCGAGGGCGGCAACGATGACGGCCCCGAGCTGAGCCACGGCACCACCGAGGAGGAGGAGCCGGAGCAGCCCCCGACCCCCAAGAAGAAGCCGGCGCGGCAGGCCACCAAGACGGCGCAGAAGAAGAAGCCCCGGAAGCAGATGAACGACCCGTGGGCCGACGAGGACGTCGACAACAAGCAGATGGCGCGCCAGCAGCCGCAGCAGCAGTACCAGCAGCAGCCGCAGCAGCAGCAGATGCAGCAGATGCCGCCTCAGATGATGATGAACGCCCAGAAGGACGAGAAGAAGAACCCGCTGAAGCTGCGCCTCGACCTCAACCTCGACGTCGAGATTGAGCTGCGAGCCAAGATCCACGGCGACGTTACCCTGGCCCTCCTGTTCGTCTACCTTGACCCCTTCTTGTGGCGTGCTAAAGAACTGACTTTTTTTGCTTAACAGTGACATGGGCTAAAGTGACATGTGAGAAAGCGTGGGCGTTTTTGACGGATATTTCTTTACGATTGTTTGGATTTTTGTTCCCTCAAGGCATGAGATTATGAGCTTGAAAGAGGCGGTTCGATGACTGAAAGACACTGTACTTTTACGCATGGCTGCGATCTGTACGCCGAGACCGAGGAGTGTTCTTCTTCGGGCCGGTTAATGACAGAGCGTGCGCCGCATGAATTCAGAGATTGACCGAGCATGAGTGTTGCGCGATATGTGGCATGATGCAGTGAACATACGTCGTTGTAGCGATTGTCGTGAAGCTTGCAGAGCGTTGGCTGTGCCATGTTTCGAGTCGAGTTTCGACCTACACTTATACTCACAACATACTGTAGGAGCTGTTCAGCAGAACTCCCACATTCGACATGCGTCACATCGACTCAGCACTCAGGTCTCGGTGCAGTTGCCGGTGTGCCTAAACATGGTAGCAGAGGCCACGAGGCTGCAAGCGCCATTGGGCCACGTCGGAAGCGCGCCTGTGCCTGCATGACGGGAGCTGGGATCTCGTGGCGGCACGTGCGGTAGTAAATGCGGCTTGGGTGCTTGCACAAAGTGCTGGACAGACACGACCATGGGTGAGTGGCCCAAATTTGGATCGATGAATGAAGGGGGGGCTCGACAATGCGACAATGGCTTGCATGCAAACAGGTGGCCGGCCCGTGCCCTCGGCGGAGAGAGGCAGCTCCGGCGCGCCGATGCGTCGGGGTGGTCGCACAAATGAGGCAAAAGGGTGATGAAGAGCAGAGGCGGTTGTTTGAGGAAACGTGTCCGTTTGTTTGCGCGCCAACCAAGGATGACGGGGATGAGCAGCACGCTGGTGCTCGATGACGAGGGAGGCAGGTGGGACTGACTGATGGGCCTCGTCAACGAAGCCAGGTACTTTGTAACTTAACTTGTTGCCCTGAGTTTGTTGCAATGGTGGCATCTTTTCCCTCGGCGCAACCGGAGCGATTCTACGGGACTGCGGTGAGCGGGGACGGCACTGAGCTCCGTGACCAGGGTGCTCAAACCTGGCAGTACAAGTACAGGTAGCAAATACTGCCAGTATCGCCGCAGTCCTCATAACTATTTAGCATGGAAAAGTATGAACACGTGGGCGCCTAATAATAAGACGAGCCATGGCCAGTGGATCAATTGTCGACGCTTGGGGCGCTGGCTCGCTCGTCAGTGCAGGCGTCGCTGTGCTGCAGGTACAACCTACCCCGTAGGTACAACACGTCCCCGGACACGACGACGATGGAAGTGAGGGCCCACGGATCCTCTCGTGGGCCGCAATCAACCAGCGCACAGTATGGCAATTACTGTACGGTGCTTTGCCGCAAGTTAGGTAGAAGCTTGTCTCTGACCCTGGAGCGCCAACTGGGTACGGTGTACGGAGTATTATCGCGATCCGCAGCCCGTGGTCGAGCGAGTTTGCGCCTCATGGAGCCAAGGCCAAGGCTTATAGTGGCAGCAATGAACCGCCGCACATCAATTGACGAGTCGGTTCCGCCGCGGTCCAATCTGCCTTTTTGTATCGGCAGCAAGATTGCACTCTGCGCGATGCCATCTCGTCAATTGGGGGCTCGGATGTCTCTGAACAGTACAGTATAGCGCCGCACAGTACAGACTGTCCTGTTGGCTGCCCCGGCTTCTCGACCCTTCCATCAAGCCATTTGCGACCCGTGGACGCCTACACTGTGTCCGCTGACCTCACCAAAGCCCACCGTCCACCACATTTCCGGCGTGCGCCTACGGGAAGCATCCAACCCAACCTGTACTGCATTGCACTGGAACCCGCTGCAACAGCTTCAAGGTTGGTTCCTGCCTGCCTCCCGGGACCCGCTGTGCTGCCTCGAGTCTAGCGCCTGTCTTGAGCTCAACGTGCTCGCAGGGCCAACTGGAGCTCACGGGCAAGTGTCATAGGCTGGAGGCCCTCCCGTCCACCCCCAGCACTCTCTCTCATTGCGGCGCCCCCAACCTAACACTAACAGATCGTGAGCCAGCAGCGCCTCTCAGCAAACTGAAAGCAACCCAGGGTGCTCCCAGGTGGTTCATGTCCCACTCGAGGCGCTGTCCGCCGCCCCCGCACTGGCGCCACAGAAGGCTGTCGCGCCCCCCCAATTTTTTTTGGAGACGGGGGACCCTGAGCTCCATCGCCTGCTGCCGCGGCGGGTTTCCCAACTACGTGTCCTCAAGCTGGAGCTCCCGGCCGCGATTTTAAACTTCTCCACCTCGCTCGCGACGACTGCCCTCTCTTCCCTCCGCAACCTCACTCGTGGCCGTGGATTTCCGTCATCCCCCTTGAGCGCTGGGACAAGTCGCCTCTCCGTCTCCTTTCCTTCTGCCGACTCTCATTTGCCTGAGCACCCTGCGCTGCGCGCCTCGTCCTCACAATGAAGTTCAACTCCGTTGCCGCTGCCGTCTCGGCCGCCCTCCTCGCCGGCACTGCACATGCCGACGACACCAAGCCCGCCGCCGACGACGCGGCCTCGTCGTCGACTGCCGCTTCTGTGCCCCCTCTGCCCACCTTCACTGTGAGTCTCTCCCGTGCAATTGACTCGCCTGCGCACCGTGCTCCCCCTTCCCCAAGCTCGCCGTCGCAGAGGCGTCCCGCGTATGGCCACTGGCTTTGCTGACACGGACCGCACGTAGCCTACCACCCTCAAGGCCCCCTTCCTGGAGCAGTTCACCGAGGGCTGGGACAAGCGATGGAAGCCGTCCCACGCCAAGAAGGACATGACCGGCTCCGACAAGGACGCTGAGGAGTGGGCGTACGTCGGCGAGTGGGCCGTCGAGGAGCCCTACCAGTACAAGGGCATGGAGGGCGACAAGGGCCTTGTTGTCAAGAACCCGGCTGCCCACCACGCCATCTCGGCCAAGTTCCCCAAGAAGATTGACAACAAGGGCAAGACCCTCGTTGTTCAGTACGAGGTCAAGCTTCAGAGTAAGCCAATTGTGTCCCCCGCTTGACTTGCCTCGGCTTTGCTCACACCGTCCGTCTCCAGAGGGCCTCGAGTGCGGTGGCGCCTACATGAAGCTGCTCCGCGACAACAAGGCTCTCCACCAGGAAGAGTTTGCCAACACGACGCCCTACGTCATCATGTTCGGCCCTGACAAGTGCGGCCACACCAACAAGGTCCACTTCATCTTCAACCACAAGAACCCCAAGACGGGCAAGTACGAGGAGAAGCACCTCGCCACTCCTCCTACGGCCAAGATCGTCAAGACGACCGAGCTCTACACTCTGATCGTCCACCCCAACAACACCTACGCCATCCGACAGAATGGCGAGGAGGTCAAGGCCGGCTCCCTCCTCGAGGACTTCAGCCCCGCGGTCAACCCCCCCTCCGAGATTGACGACCCCAAGGACACCAAGCCCGAGGACTGGGTTGACCAGGCCCGCATCGCCGACCCCGAGGCCAAGAAGCCCGAGGACTGGGATGAGGACGCCCCCTTCGAGATTGTCGACGAGGAGGCCACCATGCCCGAGGACTGGCTGGTCGACGAGCCCAACACTGTTGCCGACCCGGAGGCTAAGAAGCCCGAGGACTGGGACGATGAGGAGGACGGCGACTGGATCGCGCCCACTGTCCCCAACCCCAAGTGTGCCGATGTCTCTGGCTGTGGCCCCTGGACCAAGCCCATGAAGAAGAACCCCGACTACAAGGGCAAGTGGACTGCGCCCTACATTGACAACCCGGCCTATAAGGGTCCCTGGGCTCCCCGCAAGATCAAGAACCCCGAGTTCTTCGAGGACAAGCACCCCGCCAACTTTGAGGCCATGGGCGCTGTAAGTCAAAACCAAATCCGACCGTCCTGGCAGCCGCTGACGTGAACCCGCTTGCAGATTGGCTTTGAGATCTGGACCATGCAGAATGACATCCTCTTCGACAACATCTACGTCGGCCACTCGATCGCCGACGCCGAGAAGCTGGCTGAGGAGTCGTTCAAGCTCAAGCACCCCGTCGAGCAGGCCCTGGCCGAGGCCGACAAGCCCAAGCCCGAGGAGAAGCCCAAGTCTCCCTCTGACCTCAAGTTCGCCGACGACCCCGTCCTGTACATCAAGGAGAAGCTCGACCTGTTCCTCACCATTGCCAAGAAGGACCCCATCGAGGCCATCAAGTTCGTCCCTGAGGCGGCTGGCGGCATCGCTGCCGTTGTTGTGACTATCATCGCCGTCATTGTCGGCCTCGTCAGCGCTGGCTCCTCGCCCGCCGTCCAGAAGGCCGCAACCGACGCCAAGGACAAGGCCAAGGAGGTCAAGGACAAGGCTGCCACTGCGGCGGCCACGGGCGCCGAGAAGGCCAAGGGAGAGGCCACCAAGCGCAGCACCCGTAGCCAGTCGTAGGCGGGATGTCGTGGACGAGATGGTCGTTGGCGCGACGAAGCCGACAAGAGGGTGCGAGTCAAGGATGTGCAAAAAAGCATGGACACAATGATGCGCAGTAGTAGCAGTCGTTTAATCTACGACACGTGTTGGAACAAACCTTGGCGCGCCGGCGGAGCTCCCCGGCGGGAAAGGGAATGGGATTGATGACAGCATGGCGTAATTGTATTTTGGGCAACTTGGCTTTTGACGCAGGCCGCGGCACTCGGAGACGTTGGCATGTACTCGTAGAAGAGCAGTGCAGTGGTTAGTCGAGAGGCAATGCAAGACAGTATGCTCCATGACGGCGATGATTGGGCAATTGGGATGATGCGATGTCGGGCGCGGGCACCAACGTCCTATACGGCAAGGGACCAAGGGACCAAGCGGACGCCGTCGGGCGATGCGAGACCTATACGGCAGGGGATCAAAGATAGCAAGGTCTAATGGTTATGTAAACGGGTCCGGGTTCGGAGGCGAATCTGACGGGCGCGCGCAGCGGGTGTACACCATTCGTGCACCATGGGTGCACCATGTGGTGCTCGGCAGCTCGTCGGAAATGGCGGCATGCAGCGGCATCGGCTTAACGGCGCCCGCGGGGAGAGAGGGAGGGAGGGCGCGCGCGCTGGGGGAAGTCCGGGCGGGCGTTCTGCAGCCTGCAGGTGCGCTGCGCTGCGGGACAGGGCCAGTGCGTGCGGGCGCCTCCAGGGCTAGCTGGGTAGGTGGCCGGGCGTGTCTGAGGTTCCCCGTGTCCCCCAAGCGCAGCCCACCCCCACACCGACCGGCGGGCCCCCCAGGTGAGGTGAGGGTCCGGCGGTGGCTTCCAGGATCCATCCAGGCCCAGACAGGGAGCTCAGGTTGCCCCGGCCGGCTGGTGTTGCTGCCCCTCTCCCGCATCCCGCCCATAGCCGACGGCCGTCCTTTAAAAGAACAACCGAGCTGGGAGGCGAATTCTCGGGTCCGAGGAGACATCACGGTGCCGGCAGGATTGTCTGTTTTCGTCTGCAGACAGCATCGTCAAGTACGTCAAAAAGCATTTCCCAGCTGGCCTCTTGATCTCCTGATTCCCGCCCTCCGGTCGCCATGCGTCGGCTCATATCGCGAAGCGTCACCGCCAGTGCCAGCGCCAGCCGCTCGCCCGCGACGTCGGCCGCTCCTCGCTCGTCCCTCGCCGCTGCCTCGTCGTCGTCTACCCTCAAGATGGCCTCGCACTCCTCCGTCGCCGCGAGGCGGATACACGCCACCGCCCAGCAGCTCAAGCCCGCGGGCGCGGCCCTGGCCTCGACGGCCACGAGCTACCCGACGACGCACGAAAAGATCGCCACCGTCGAGGACACGCCCTACTTCGTCGACAACAAGTTCGTCCAGTCCAAGACGGACAAGTTCATCGACCTGCCCGACCCGGCCACCAACAACCTCGTCACCCGCGTCCCGCAGATGACCGACGCGGAGATGAAGGCCGCCGTCGCCAGCGCCGAGAAGGCCTTTGAGTCGTGGCGCAACACCACCGTCCTGGCCCGCCAGCAGATCATGTTCCGCTTCGTCCAGCTGATCCGCGAGAACTGGGACCGCCTGGCCGCCAGCATCACCCTCGAGCAGGGCAAGACCTTTGCCGACGCAAAGGGCGACGTTCTGCGCGGCCTGCAGGTCGCCGAGGCCGCCATCGGTGCCCCCGAGCTGCTCAAGGGCGAGGTCCTCGAGGTGGCCAAGGACATGGAGACGCGCACCTACCGCGAGCCTCTCGGTGTCGTTGCCGCCATCTGCCCCTTCAGTAAGTCTATCTGATGAAATGCCGGGAGCATTCCCCAACGTGCTCGGTCCCGTCGTGGGGGTGATGATAGCCGCTGACAAGAGTGACTACAGACTTCCCCGCCATGATTCCCCTCTGGTGCATTCCCATCGCCACCATCACGGGCAACACCCTCATCCTCAAGCCTTCGGAGCGTGACCCCGGCGCCGCCATGATCCTGGCCGAGCTTGTGCAAAAGGCGGGCTTCCCCGAGGGCGTCGTCAACGTCATCCACGGCGCGCACCGCACCGTCGACTTCATCCTCGACGAGCCGGCCATCAAGGCCATCAGCTTCGTCGGCGGCAACAAGGCCGGCGAGTACATCTTCAGCCGCGGGTCGGCCAACGGCAAGCGCGTGCAGGCCAACCTGGGCGCCAAGAACCACGCCGCCGTCCTGCCCGACTGCAACAAGAACCACTTCATCAACAGCGTCGTCGGCGCCGCCTTTGGTGCCGCCGGCCAGCGCTGCATGGCCCTGAGCACGCTCGTCATGGTCGGCGAGACCAAGGAGTGGCTGTCCGAGGTGGCCGAGCGGGCGCGCAGCCTGCGCGTCGACGGCGGCTTCGAGGAGGGCGCCGACCTGGGCCCCGTCATCTCCCCCCACAGCAAGGAGCGCATCGAGAGCCTCATCGCCAGCGCCGAGAAGGAGGGCGCGACGGTGCTGCTCGACGGCCGCGGCTACAAGCCCGAGAAGTACCCCAACGGCAACTTCATCGGCCCGACCATCATCTCTAACGTGACGCCCGACATGACGTGCTACAAGGAGGAGATCTTCGGCCCTGTCCTCGTGTGCCTCAACGTCGACACCATTGACGACGCGATCGAGCTCATCAACAAGAACGAGTACGGCAACGGCGTCGCCATCTTCACGCGCTCCGGCCCCACGGCCGAGACGTTCCGCCGCAACATCCAGGCCGGCCAGGTCGGCATCAACGTGCCCATCCCCGTGCCGCTGCCCATGTTCTCCTTCACGGGCAACAAGAAGAGCATCGCCGGCGGCGGTGCCAACACCTTCTACGGCAAGCCGGGCATCAACTTTTACACGCAGCTCAAGACGGTGACGGCCCTGTGGCAGAGCGCCGACGCCGTGGCCAAGAAGGCGTCTGTCCACATGCCCACGCTGCAATAGAAGGTCTCGCTTATGAAGTTTTTGGGAGTGCTGCTGAGAGTAATTGCTGATTCAAAGGGGCTCTGTCGTTTGTTGGGTCGTGTGCGTATAGGCGGCAGGGATTACAAAAGACAGCTAGCTAGCTAGCTAGCCGAGGCAGAATGAGTCGGGAAAAAATGTCAAGATATTGCTACAAACAAGGTTAAGGATTCCTTGCCATGTCACATAAAAGGGGTGGTGATGATGCTCTCGTGATTATTTATCTGGCCTTCGGTGTGGTCTCGTACCTCTCGTACCGTCACCCAGACGGTGCCTTCCTCGGGACCTGTTATTCACCAGCGCTGACAAAACATCAACTCAGAATCAATTGCAACGTCAGATGTATCAATTGACTTCCTACAATGCAAAGAAACACAAGACGCATTCGCCAGACGCCAAAGCACTCGAGCTCAGACACTTGTCAAGAGCCCCTCCGTGACGACTAGAAAATCGGAAACAATTTCCACTCCGCGTTCCCCAACTGCGCCGGATCCAGCCAAGGGTCCTGCAGCAACATCCTCGCCGTCGCTCTGTCCTCGGGTTCCCAGCGCATCATCCTAGCAATGAAGACCAGAAAGTCGGACTCCTCGCCCTCGAGACATTCCGGCACTTCGTCGAGGATCGCGCGCCACTTGGTCACGATGAAGGTGTGTTTCCAGCGGCCGGACCCCGAGAACGAATAGTAGAAGGGCCCGTCGAAGTAGTCCCGCACCGTCAGGCACCGCTTGCCCGTGACTGGATGTGCCAGCGCCTCGGAGAACTGCTGCGATGCGAGGGCTTCGGACCGCGAGATGAGCGAGTCGGGCGCCGGGCCGAGAATCTCCGTCATTTGGACGAGATGCGTTGCTGCGGAATAGCAGCCCCCTGGAGCACCATTTGGCTTGGGTACGATAACGTTGAACAGGTCGGTGTCTGCAAAGATGTCCCAGATCTGCCATGGTCAGTCCGGAAATGCCAACTCAAGACGACTCGCAACGGGAACGGATTGGGAGGTTTACCACGACGGCCAGGTTCCATATGTCGGCGCTGCATGACCAGCCAGCGCCCAAAATCACCTCCGGTGCGCGGTACACTGTCGGCTGAATTGGCATCGTCATGGTGGTCCCCGGCTGAAGGATGTACGAGAGGCCAAAGTCGGATATCTTGGCCACCATATTGCCCACCAGCGGCTCGCTCGGGTTGCCCATGGAACGAAACGACCTGTACACGGTGTGATCAGAATATACCTTGCGCGGCAGAGGTTGACCTTGCACCGTCTCGAAAAACCGCTCGAACACGCCGACATCCTCACAGGTCAGGAGGATGTTGTCGGCCTTGATGTCTTTGTAAGGTCAGCTCTCAGCCCTGCCAGAGGAACTGGACTAAAGGACTCACCAGTGTGTACGATCCTGCACTCGCTGTGCAGATAATCGAGACCCGCAAGAACCTGCCTCAAGATGCCCTTCATCAGTTTCACATTTGTCGCGTGGAGACTCGTACTGTTGGCCTCGCCAAGGCGTCTTCGGAAAGTCACGAGTGGCTCCCGCATCGGCTCCATGACCAGGCACAAATGCCTGGACCTGTTGAGCTGCTCGATCGCGAAAACGGCGAGACCGGCCACGACATGTTGTGCTCCAGGGTGCTTGTTGCCATGCTTCCCTTTGTACATGTGGTTGAGTACCTTGATTTCCTTCGTGGCGGTCTGCGAAGCGTGGTCGTTGTTGTATATCTTGACGGCGCGAAACTTTGGGCGTTCTGGAGCCTGCCTTCATGAGATGTAAGTTCATTTCAGTCCAACGTGTCACAGAGACAGGCAGGAAAGTTACAAGTCCGTGTCCTCAGCTAGCCAGACAGTCGACGTCTGGCCCCAGCCCATCTTTGCGATCAGCTTGTACTTGCCTCCCAGCATCTCACCTGGATTGGGGTGGTAGAAATGCTGCCACTTGTACCGAGAATTGCCCTCCTCGTCTACCCGCTGATCGGCGGGTATGATGCGATCGCCTCCAGCGACTTCAGACTCGGAGCAACTGCAGCCGCCGCCGCCGCCATTAAAGCTGTGGTGTCTCGTCCCCCCACAGAGCAAACCTGTTATTCCTTTAACGGGACAGCCCATTGAGATGTGACAGATTTGGTGAAGGAAGTCAAGTCGAGACGATTGGCTGAGACACATACAGATCTAATCCAGACCGGTGAGCGTCCAGAAGACAAAAGTGTAGGGAGAGGGCAAACATCACCCAGGGTCACTTATATACGGCAGCCTTTGCCGTACGCATGATGACCGAACATCAGGTCAGTAGCAGTTCATTCTGCGATGTAGTCAAGGCCTTACTGAACCTCGACAAGATTGTATGCTCAGGCGAGTTCTGCATAGACGAAACAAAGGCGCCACAGAAGCCTTGCGATAGAACTTTGGCCTGTTCCTGCGCGCGCGGTCAACGAACAACGGCCCTCGAGCGCGACTCGACGAACAAAGACGTGTGCGCAGCCCGTTCGCCTCACTCACGCGCGTGTGATTGTCACAGCTCTCTTCCGATTCGTACGTTTGGATTGGGACCGCACTGGTAATGCCTTGGAGGTGCATAGGTAGTGTCTGCGCTGTGTGTGGCCAAAGGTCATCAAACCTCAGGAGTGCATATCTGGCCGAGCCCTGTTACCCACAACAGTAGGGCAGCGCGGTGTGCGTTTGCAACACCACAGCCATGAACACGCCAGCTGGCTGTCAGTTCGGGCACGCTGATTCACGGCCGACTGAACAAGCCAACCTCGGCGGCGGTCGCTACAGCTACAGGCAACGGCGCCCGGCTGCCTGGGCACTGAACAGGGCCGCCAGCTGGCAGCTCGCCCGCTGCTGGCCAACCTGATGTTATGATAATTCTTCGTGCTTCTGAACAGGTCTGTGTTTGCAACCTCTACCAAACAACACCTCCTTCCTTCCCTCTCCCCCCCTCAGCCGCATCACCAACAGACAACACATCAAGACACGACGAGCTCATCGCAGAGGCACCGCCATCATGAAGAATATGCTCATGACGCTCCCTTGGGACGTCTTCACCGAGGTCATCCTCAACGTCGCCCCGTACGACACGCTCCGAGTTCGTTGCGTTTGCCGCGCCCTCAAGAATGTCTTGGACAGCAGCGACGTCGCGATTCGGCTCGTCAGATACCACTTCCCTCGCGCTCGAGAGAGTCGCTTTCTCCGAGCCCTCGTCGAAAAAGGCGACAGGACGAACATCTTGGGCATCGACTGGGCGTACGTCTTCCGCCGGCTCGTTCGTCGCTACTATCACATCGGCAACGCCAAATTCTGGCGGCAGTTCTCAGTACCCATGGTGCGTCGCGGTGCAAACATGATGCCGTTTTTTCCCATGCATCGTGGGCTTTCCTACAAGAACATCCAACGAGTTGTCCACTATGCCGATCCGCTGTGGTCGTTTGACCCTGAGCCTGGCCTGCTGGTCTACCCAGGACCGCCGGTCCCAGACAACTACGGTATTTCTCAGTGGTACATGCTCGATATTTATACCGGCATAACCGCTCAGATTCCTTTCGACTCGGGCGGCCGCGTTGTACGCCGCGTCCGGCTCAGCCATGGAGTTCTCATCTTTGAGTGGTGCCGGCAGTTGTCTCCATCGCAATATGTTCATGCCGGCACAAGCCACGACATCAGACTGCACTGCGCCACGGCCATGGACGTCGTCCGCTCCGTACCTTGGAACGGCGTCTATACTGAGCATGTTGGAGGCCAGAATGCTCGCTTCCCCTGGCGCTTCGACTTCCGAGGAGAGTGGCGGATCGAGTGGCTCAACCCGCGACCGGACAGCGAGTGCGACCGCATGTTTTCCGATCACAATGCCACGCACTACATCGCCTACATCCTGAAAACCCGCGGCCCGAATAGAATCCGGAACTGGGAGGCAGTCAAGTTGTGGGACATTCGCCCGGAGGCTATGGTAGCGGCCAGTGCCGCTGACAAGGAACCGGGATACAATCTGGTGAATGCGAGATGCCCTTTGGTGCGGGAACTCACAGCTAACGACTTGCGGTTTTACTTTGGTCGACAGGGCGCTTCTCCAGACTTCATGAGCATTCGGCTCGACGACCGCACCTGGGACGAGCAGACGCGGTCTGTGTGCGGCCAGTTCTACATCACCGAGGAGATTCATCCCTGGATGAACGGACCCCATCGGTCCACGGCGCCAACCCGCGTTCATGGGCTGTTCGTCACTGGCATGCCTCTGACCGGCATCGGACCGGAGTGGTACTTGTGCTGCGGCGACCCCAACTTTGCTTCGGCTCCCGGCGGCGGTCACGATATCGCCCACGGCCTCTGCCAGACTGGCCCGCATACGCGCCAGCTCCCTGAGCCGGAGCCGCAGCCTGACGCAGACGCGGGCTCCAGCCTGTGGGACATTCTCGGCAGCGACTCGGATAGCGAAGTCGACCACGGCGACGACGTGAGCGCTCCACGCCGAACCAGGCCCAACGCCCGCAACCCTCCCACCCATGCTAATGCCCAACAGGATGGCACTGGATCGGCAGGCTCCGGCTGCTACGAGTATGTGTTTCGTCCACTGACGGCGCGACAAGTGCGCCGGCTGCGCGGCGAACACGAGCCCACCGACGACGAGCTCATGGAGCGCGACCTCGCCGAGACGTGGCCCGGCCGCCCCCCCTGCTGGCGACACGACGAGTACCCGCGCTTCAACCTGGCTCAGGTCTTTGACGCCGCCGCCGGCGTCCGCATCATCGCCCAGTCCGACATCCACCTCGCCCCGTACTCGAGGTCCGCGAAGCCGATCCTCCGCGTCGAGAGCGACGTCGAGGCCGCCTACTCGGCCGCCGGATACAAGGACAACCGCGACGAGGGCCAGTCCTGGGAGTTTCACGAGTCCATGTGGTCCCAGCTAATGTGCCGCCACATCATTCTCGGCGACGAGCGCTGGATCGTGGGCGAGGCCCCGGACAACAAAGCCCTGACCATTGGCATCTTTTGAGAGACCCCTTTCCCTTTTCCGTCTTTCCTATTGTCTTTCCTATTCTCTCTTTTTTTCCTTTCCTTGTCTTTTCCTTGTCTTTGCTTGTTCTCAAATGTCACGCCGAGAATGTGTGGCCTTCCAACGCCAGACTTTGTGAGAGGACGAATGGAACGGAACCGGAGGACGTTTGATTTTGCGACGACGATGAACTGTATCGAGGATCCATTGGGCGAGAATGGACTTGCCTGAGGGAAAACGACTGGGCGAGAAGCACTTGCCTATCCGAACGACCGGGCGATACGAAACTTGCAAAACGACACTGCGAGACAAGGAATCGCAGAAAAGCCTGGTACAGATGAGATTTGCTCATCGGAACGACTGGGCGACAACAACTTGCAGATCCGACTGTGCGGAAAAGGAACTGCACATTTGGAATGACTAGGCGACAGACAGGTGATTGCCCCGCAGAACAAACAACTGGGTGTGAAAAGAACAAAAAAAAGAGGGAAGAATGACTGCGAGAGGATGGATCGCAAAACGACTGTGTGTGCAAAGGGGATCGCACATTGGAGACGGGTGGGCGTGAACGAATTGCACAACGGCCGGGCGAGAACGTGATTCCGGGACGACAGCGAGAGAATGGATTTGCAACACGAACTGCGAATAGTATGGGTTTGCAAAACCCTCTGCGAAAGCATGGATTGCAGAACGAACTGCACGAAAAGGACCTGCCCATTGGAGGGGCGGCTTGGGCCAGAGGGACTTGTCTTGCAGAACGGCTGCACGAGAGAGTGGATTGCGGAACGAACGGTTGGGAAGGAAAGGGATTGCACACTCGACACACGGCTGGCGGGCACTGGGCGAGAACTACTTGACCGACCTGCGCAAACAGCCCCCTGTGTGAGCAAGCACCCGAGTACACCCAGGGATGCAGGGATGGGCAACGTGCTGAAACCTTGAAGAATCGAGCTGCCCCCATCGGGGGTTACTATGTAGAACAATCACACTGTCTTTTAAAAAACCCATGACTTTGGCATTTGCTACGAGTGTGCGGCGTGATAGTGTACAGATCCCGGACAGAGCAGGTTCGTCGTCCCTTACCGCTGCTACGCACCAGAGAAAATCAAAAAAACTCCTTTCAGAGATGACCAGCCCTTGCTTGGAACAACAACCAAAAACACACATTGACGCCATGTTTCGCAGAGACAGGACTTATTCTACACACACGGCCGCGGACAGATGCACCTCTTCTTCATCGAGACGTATACTCATGACCCCCATCGGTCCTACATTAGTTCGCCGTCGCCGGCAGCTGCATAAACCCAGAGTAGTAGTCGTCGAGCCACCTCGCGGCGTCGACACCCGCGTCGTCCACGGCCGTGTCCCACCGGTTGACGGACCCGACGTAGCCGTCCGGCCGCACGTTGAGGATGGCCACCTCGCCCGGCTCGAGGCGTCCCAGCCACTTGTCCGTACATTGCTGCCCTCTCGTATCCTGCTCCGGGACGTTGTCGAGGTAGATGGTCCAGCGGCTGTCTTGCAGCAGGGCGGGAAGGTCGGAAATCTCAAACTCGGTCTTGGCCATCGTTGCTGTTGCGCAGTCAGTATACGATCCAAACATGATCCAAGGACGGGCGGGCGGCATACTTATGAGAGCAAAGGTGAATAGGTGGCTGACGGCGGTGTACCGCTCCGGTCTGAGATAGACGTCCTCCGGCGAGCCCAGCCTCGGCTGCTCTGCGTACGAGACGCTGGCAGCTGCGGAGAGCTGGCTCACAAACGACTTGCTCTCTGCAATGGCGCGGCAGAACGTGGTCAAGAAGGGGGCCGCTTGCTGTACATCCCACGTCAGGATGAAGATTCGGAACTGGCCGAGCATGGGGATGTCGAGCTGCACATCGACCGGGTTGGAGTCGATATAGCGGGACACCTTGCCCGGGGCCAAGAGGCATCCCGGCCTTGCGTCGCCCATGCCAAAGGGGATTTCTGTCACATCCTTGTTGATGGAGCTGCCGCTGTATTCTGCGCCAATCCCCGAGATGAAGCGTACGTTGGCCTTGAAGTTCTTGGCCAGGGCAACGGCATCTCCTCCCGCCAGCTGGTTTGCGTGCTCGTAATCGAAGTTGGCGAGGTCCAGGGCAATCTTCCGGCGCTCCTCCTCGTAGCTCTCCAGCAGCGTGGGCTTTGCCAGACCGCGAACAGCCAGGTTCAGCTTCCACGACAAGTTCCACGAATCGTGCATGGACGTGTTCATGCCCTGCGCCGCCTTCGGAGAGTGGGTGTGACTGGCGTCACCAGACAGGAAAACCCGTGTTTGGCCATCACAAAAGCGACTCGCCACCCGCTGGCCAACTTGGTACCGCCCAAACCACTCGATGTACTTCCAGTCGACGTTGTAGGGCGCCATGATCTTACGCGCCTGCTCCATGACGAAGGTCTGGCCGAGGCGGCGTCGATCGGTTCCCACGCAAGACTTGAGCTCAATATAGAAACGAGTCATGTTTCGTTCGCGAGGGATGAGAAGGATAGACCCATGCTCTTCTGAGTAAACGAGCGTCTTCGACCAGATGTCGGGGAAGTCGGTGATGAGTTCGCCATCAAGAACACCCCAGATAGCGGGTTGAGACATGCCGATAGCTTCGACATCGGGTATGCTCTTGCGGACTTTGGAGTGAGCTCCATCGCCTGCGCATAGTGTTAGCTCAACGCGTCATGCACAAATGGGGCCGTCGAATACGCACAGCCAACCAGATACTGAGTTAGAAGAGTGCGCTTATCGTGTGTGACGTTTGTCCGGCAGTTTACTTGCAGCTGTCCGTTCTTGCCGGCGGGGAAGTCGTAGGAGTCGAAGGCCATGTTCCTGCGAACCTCCTTGCCCCGCTTTCGCATGTCGTCGATGAAGAGACCCTCGACAATGCCCTGGTGAACCAGGAGGATGTAAGGGTCCAAGACATCGATTACGGGTGGGTAGTGAACCTCGCGCCCCAGCCGATGAAGGGGCTCCTCCGCGGTGCTGCGCCAGAAGGAGATGTCGAAGACGCGGACGCCACGCTGGAGCAGGGCATCGGACAGGCGCAGCTGTCGGAATGTCTCAATCGTCTTTGGCTGAAGGCCATCAGCCCTGCGAGGGTGCGCATTCAGTCAGCGCCAGATCTAAGCAAAAGGTCGTACAAGCGACGGAAGCGAGGGGTAACATTTACCTTCCAACCGGGGTCTGATCGGCCCTGTCATCGATGACCTCGACGGCAACGCCATACCTGGCCAGGGTGGCGCCCAGCATCAGTCCCGCGGGACCTGCTCCGACGACACAGACCTGGCATTCCGTCGGAGGCTCGGGAAAGCTCCGCAGCAGCGTCAGGTCGGCGACGGCATCCTGCTCCTCGTCCTCGTTCACGGGGGCCAGCTGGTGCTCGACATCAACAGCTGGGTTTTGGGGCGCGTTCGGGGGGCTGCCGTTGAGTATGCCAGGCGCCATGTCTCAGACGACAAGCCGGGTATGGCGCGGGGAAGAGGCGAATTGTGCGAAATTGTCTCGACGCGATCAAGTGGCAGAGATCAGGCCGCCGCGGGTTACTATACGTCAGACGGCCCGGTACCCGCGATATGGGCTGAGGAGTGGGCTGCTGGGGGGAGGGCCGTCAAGGTCGTGACCTCGAATTGGCTCGCAGGGCAAAGGCAGGGACGGAAGGGCCCTGCGGCGGTGAATGAGTATAAAAGGAAGCGTGAGAAGTGACGAGAAGTTGGGTTTGCGATCCTGGCTGACAAGGCTCTCAGCCCCGGCGCAACCTGGCAGGGCAGGACACCAGCGGACGGCGCAAACAGTGGTCCCAGGACAGCTGACGGCGAGCTGGATACGTCGGTATGTCGTCGTCGGGACGTCGGCAAGCGGGCGAGGGGAAAAGTCAATATTTCTAGAATCGTGGCTGGATCCGCTGGCGAGCAAACAGAAGCGGCAGTGGCAGCGGTGCTCCACGAGGCGTTCTCGGATGCGACGAGATAGTAGTAGGTATACCACGCACTCGGGCGTGCAAAATGGCAAGTTTGGATCTATCCGGCAGCAGGACGGACTCGCGTGACACAAGACGTGTTGCAGATTTAGGCCGAGCCGGGTCGTCTGGATCAGATATATCGGGAGGGAGGCGGGCGGAAAGGCTTGCGTGCTGGTGTGTTGGTGGCAGCGACTCGCTCGAGGTGGCGGCGGACGGGGTACGAGTATACGGGCGGACAGCCGTCGAGAATTATCAATCGTTCGACTGGGCAGCGACCAAGACGCGGCTAGTCAAATCGAGGGCCTGCAGGAGTCAGGACGTCCCAGACTGAGGTGCCAGCTGGTCGGTCGACTGGTTGTGTCAGGCCCTTCGCGGCCAGGGCAGGCAGGCAGGCAGGCAGGGCAGGGCAGGGCAGTTCCAGGCTGGCCAGCCGCCTCTGCCGTCCACTCTTTCGGAGCACAATTCTCTCCGACCCGTCGCCGACTGACGGACTGACTGGCGATTCTCATACGGCGACGGCTGGGCAGGACACCACTGACGGCCCAGTTGCGTCTGTAAGTTCACTGGGTCGATGCCTCGCTCAACCCGCCGCTCGGCCAAAAGTACAAGTACGGGGCCACCCACCCGGCCGTGCAAGGCCGCCGCAGACGCCCTGGCAGGCGCGCGCTGCGCTAATACCAACCCCAGGTAAGGTACCTACGGCACTGCAGGCCGCTCGCCGCTGCAGGGCAGGCGCAGGCGGCGAGCACGGCGTGGACGGCGCAGACGCAAGCCGCGCTCGCCCAACGGAATGGAGGATTGGGGCCGCCGCGTGGAGCGCCCAGCTGCCCGCGCCGGAAAAGTGGCATGACCTCCATTACGTGCTGGCAGGTCCGATGGACTTGTGAGGCCAAAATGGGCTGATTTGGCTCGCAGCGCCTGGAACCAGGGTCTCGGGGCCCGCTGCGCCCCGGTGATTGGCCGCATCTGAGATCTCGGGTGAAGAAGTGGTGCCACTTTCGGCCTGCTCCTGCTGCGCGGCGGACGCAGGCGCGGTACTCGCGGGCGGCACCAGGTACTCGTACCGCTACATGCAGCCGCCATCCCCAGAGCCCGGTGCGGTTTTCGCCCCTCCATTGGTACAGTACAGCGCCGGTACTGCAATTACTCGGGCCCCTCAGTCCCGTCCAAAGGGCCCACCCGCCACCGACCTTTACTCCCGGCTTCTTCCTCCGCCTCCAGTTGGCACGGCCGGCTCATCGGCCTGCCACGGCGCACCAACCCGCAGCGACAGCCGCCCGCGGGCTTGTTGTCCAGCTGCCCGTCCTTAGGTGCCCACGACGACGGGAGGGGAGACGCAAACACGGCCCGGAGCCACCGGACGGCCATTCGCGCTTCTCACCCATAGTTCGTGCCAGCACTGCTGATAACCTTGGCCATTGGTATTCCGTACGTAGGCGTTCGTCACGGACCAACAACTGCCTTTCCAGCCAGTCCGTTTCTCATACCGACAAGGCGGTCTGACCGGCTTCTCGAACCGCAATCCAGTGTTGGCGCGCCCGCTACCGGCACATACTCACGCGCCTTAGCTGCCGCCACAATGAATAGCTAGTGTCGATCCTCGACACTTTTCGACCTCATTGCCCGCTTGGCACCCCTCACCCGCCTCGCGCTTCATCCTCATCATGCCAGATGCGACACGCGCGTCAACCAACCGCCGCGGACAGCGCCCGGAACATGCCAGCTTGGCCAGCCATCCAGCCCATCAGTCGAGCAAGACATTTTGGCGGCGTCAGACCCTGCCAAGCTGCTTGCCGCCTGCGCCGGCTCACCCCCTGACTCCCGTCGCTGTCAGCTATTGACGCAGCCATCAGCCCATACCAGAGCTTTTGGGGCCATGCGCTCGTCCCATACTTGAACTCGACAGCTCCGGCGCTCGGAGACTGCCTTTCGTGGCTCATGCACTCGGGGACGAGACCTCAAAGCAATGACGCGCATGTGAAACATCAGATGCAGGGCTCATCCAACCCTGCAACATAAACTCCGCAGCCTCACCGGACTCCACGGATTGTTCACGTTGCCGGACTTTCCACACCCTCAAGTGAGGGTGGCATTACTGTACAAGCCTCCGATCCTGCGAGCAGTACTCTGTGAATGTTGTCGGGCTACCGACGGTTATGGAAAATCCGAATTCTCCGTCTTTGGCACTACGGGAGCATCGTGCTGGCTGAGCTAGCAGCGCTACATTATCTTCACAAACAGTACACAAGCATGACCCGCAAGCCGAACTACTTGAATCTACGTCGAATCCATGCCATTGGTGATTTGGAGGAGGCCGAGGAATATAGCCAGTCAAGACATGGCCCACGCCAGGCTTCACGGTCACTGTACGGGCGTTTCGCCCAAGAGTGTCCACAACCTCAACTTCGAGAGATGAATCCGAAGCAGGCGCTCACTCTTATATAAGAAGCTCCTCCTTCTCACCTCCCCCCGCAACAGTGACGCCTCGCGAATGTCAGCTAAAGATGAGATCGAGTCCCTGATTCACTGTGAGGCTTGTTGACGTCTATTGTTCCCCCCAGTTTTCTATGCGCCGCATCGTGAAACTGCATCGCAGAGTACCAAACATTGGATCCACGGAGACCACGGCTGGCTTGTGGTTATTGATGAAGGTTATCTTGAAGAGTTAGCTGTAGGTGCACGATCTCGGGTCGGTTGACTCATCGGGAGCCCTCATCGTCACACAATCGTGTTAGGACCGGTGTGCAAAAGGATGTTGGTTTTTTACTGGCTTAGACTTCTTGCTTATAACCTGCGCTTGTATACCTCCGAAGCCACTGGCAGCTGTAGGCTGTGGCACCTGAAGCTTCTTCTTTGCAGCATGTAACAGCGGGCCTCTGGCATCGCGTCACCAGGCCCCTGTTCCCGAGACCCTTTCCAAGCTCTATGCGTAGTGTCCTTACCCGCTCATCCGCAATACCGGGCCGGCCAACGCCGTTAAACACGCACACTAGCCCTGGACAGCAATGGCCATATCCCTTTTGAGCTCCGTAATCGCACTGCTCCTGTTTGTGTCTACACCGGTCTTAGGAATGCAAGACCTTGTCGTTGCCGTTTACGCCGGCTGTCACCCCAGCCCTGGGCACTGACCCACCTCATGGCTGGCCCCAACATGGTCACAACTTGAATAGAGCAGTTCTAGTTCATCGTGTGTGAAAGTGCACTGCTTGCCCCAAGTACACCAGACGTTTTGATCAAGCATGGCCGAACTTTTCTCGCCTTCTTGTGCCCAAAATGCTTGAAAAAGGCGTCTTTGTCTTTAGTGTTCCCATACTTGCAACCGATCTCTGTGTTGCAATACATTCGCCATCTCCATCGGCTGGTAGTCATCTATCCCTCCTCAGCCGCTGCCACAGTCAAAACCATCGTCCTTCTCCTTCTTTGAGGGGGTCGTTACTTTCCTCTATTCCGCCTTGAGGTAGTTCCGCGACTCTATTAAAAGTTTGTAGCCCGAGTGAGCAACGTGGACTCTCCAGTTCTTTGGCAAGTCTTCTTTGACCTAGCGAATACTATGTCTTCGATCCGTTGATTCGGCGACGTTCAGCCTCAATTCTCTTCCAAAGCCATCACGCAAGGCTCGTCCTTGGTGCGTCTACTTGAGCCACTGCCACCTCTCATCCCCGCTGTTGGCAGCCAGAGATATTGGTGTACATCCTTCCCAATCTGGAGCCTTTCTGTCGGCACCATGGTCCAGTAGCAGTTTTGCCAGCTCAACATGTCCATTTTTAATGGCGGTGTGTAGTGGCGTTCCCACTCCACGGAGGGAGATGGCATTGACATCAGCTCCATGTTCGATTATCAGCATCTTGGCAACGTCCGTACGTCCATATCGGACGGCCACATTCAGTGGATTCCCACCTTCGGTCTCATCGACGCCATTGATCTTGGCGCCGTTTTCGATGAGCACCCTTGCGACGTCGTTATGCCCGTTCTTGATGGCTTCGCTCAGCGGATTCGAACCAAACACGAAACCAGTGAAGTTGACATCAGCGCCGAGGTTGATCAGCAACTTGACAATGTCAGTATGGCCCTGCTGCGCCGCGGCCTTCAGGGGCGCTATTCTTTCGTTCACATTGGCCCCTCGTTCGATCAATAGCTCCACGATATCCATGTGTCCAAAGTACGTCGCCATGAAAAGCGGCGTCTGCAGGAGTACGGAGGTGGCCTGAGGGTTGGCCCCATTGTCGAGAAGCAGTTTCGTAATGCCAAGAAATCCTCCCGCCGACGCCCCAAAAAGGGGGGAAGATTTATCCAAAAGACGTCCAGCTTCGATGGAAGCACCATTCTCGAGTAACAACTTTACAGCCTCTTGATGGCCTCTGCTAGAGGCAATAAAGAGAGCTGTGCAGTTGTCCTCGGTAGCCGACGTTCGAGCATCCGCCCCGGCCCCGAGTAGGAGCTTGAGAACCTCGACATGTCCAAACTGAGATGCAACATACACCGGCGTGAATCCGCCGTTGTTGCTGGCCCCCGGATTAGCCCCAGTCTCCAGCAGCATCCGGACTACACCTGAATGCCCGCTCCAGGAAGCTTGCAGGATAGGCGTATCGCCATTGGTGGCCTTGGCTTCAGCGTCTGCTCCCACCCGAAGAAGCAACCTGACCACGTCGACATGTCCGTTTGCGGATGCCAGATGCAGGGGCGTCAAGTTCGTCTCATCAGCAGCTCGGGGGTCTGCACCAGCCGCTAATAGCACTCTGGCCACTTCCGAATATCCACCTGCACATGCTTCTGAGAATGGCGTATGCCCGAACTTATTGGCAACGCAAGGGTCTGCCCATACCCCCAGTAACAGCTTCACGATCGGGAGATTCCCTCTCTTAGCCGCCAGAAGCAATGCGGTCATCCCATTTCCATTGGCGGCTCGATGGTCTGACCCAGCGTCCAGCAATGCCTTGGCTACCGCGGGAAATTCTTTTCCAGACGACATAATCAAGGGTGTGTTGCCATACTTATCAGCTGCTCGAGGGTTGGCCCCAGCCTCCAGTAATACTTTGACCACCTCGATTTTGCCCTCTTCGGATGCACCAAACAAGGCACTCCTTCCATGATCATTGACGGTAGCAACGTTAGCGCCATTCTGGAGAAGTAGTTGCACTGTCTCAACTTCCCCAAGCGATGATGCTGCAAAAAGGGGCGCGATATGCCGCTCCTCAGCAGGTTGAGTGCGGGCTCCATGATCTATCAAGACTTGGACAACATTCAGCTGACCACGGGAAGCAGCTAATGCCAATGCCGAGAGATTCTGTTGATCGACGGCGTGGAAATCTGCGCCCTTCTCAATGAGAAGGGCTACAATGCCAGAATGCCCCTCCATAGCTGCGAGATGAATCGGAGCTTTTTTGTCGACTAGTAGGGCATCTAGTTCGGCTCCACAATTGACGAGCTGCTTGACTATATCAAGATGCCCTTCAGCCGCTGCGGCATGTAGTGGCGTCCAACAATTTCGATCTTTAACCTGGATGTCGGCCCCTCGCTCAATGAGAAGTGCAACAACCTCGGTGTGTCCTCTGTAGGCTGCCTTTCGAATAGGACTGAACAAGTCATCCGTAGTTCGCGCCCGCACATCGGCGCCCATGTCGAGAAGGTACTTGACCACCTCAATACGCCCTTCTTGAGCGGCCATCATGAGTGGCGTCAGTCCAATAGGTCCAGGAGGCCCATCTGCGCAGTTTGCGATCGACTGGTCCGTGGCGGTCTTGTCGTTACGATACGCTGCCGTGCTAGGGCTGTTCGATTGATGACAACTTTGCTCCTCGCATAGCTCGACGAGGAACTTGACCACATCGGCATGTCCATTGGCAGCTGCGACATGGAGCGGCTGCATGACTGGGTGTGATCCGCCGCCCGCGGGCTTCCAGGCGTTTGCTCCACTGTTAATCAATATTCTCAAGACATCAAGATGCCCATTCTGTGACGCCGCATAAGCAGCAGAGATTCCATGTTCCCCGAGAGCGTTGACATCGGCCCCGTGTTCGACGAGAAGTTCAACAGCTCCCGCATGCCCTCCGGCGGAGGCGGTCAAGATGGGCAAGGTAAATGAATCGTCCGCGACCAGTCCTGCGGCGCCGGAACCTCGGCTTAGAAGTTGCCTTAGGGTGTTGATGTCCCCTTCTGCCGAAGCTTTCTGTATTGGCGTGGAAGTTGTCATGTCTGGACCTGGCTCATTCTAATTTGGGTGGTTGGAAGCCGAAGCTAATAATTGGCGTGAATCAAGGACTTACTTGTGTAGACAAGCTTTGGGCTGATAGTTCGTGGTGAGCTTTGGTCATGATCAAGAAGAAAGCGCAGCTACAATGGTAGGAAAGGTACGATGCTATCCGTACTCCGTCACACTTGGGGTCTTTCTTATACCCAGAGCATGACAAGGGTATTTAGGCAACGGTCGAGACTTGTGCTGCGATGATGACCCTTATTTCGATCGGTCCGTTGAAAGACGAACACAGCGAGAGGTAACCGTGCCCCACCGACCGCCAGGCTCCAGTCCCTCGGGCCACCGTTTGTTTTGGTTCTTGTCGCTTGCTGGTTCTGTCAGCACGGGCTGACGACGGTCCGTATGAATCCTGGTTCCCCCAAGATATCTGGAGCGTCGTGGGCAGGTGGCGGGCACCGTCATGAGTTTGTCCGACATTATCGCCGCGTGAATTCCAGTCCACCCGAAATCGGCAAGCGTGAGCAACGCATAGAGGTTACGTCGATCCAAGCGGACAAGAAGAATCATCCAGGACGGCTCTGCAAGTGAGCTGCAATAGCGGAGTGTCTCTGCACGCCGAGCATTAGAGCTCATGACCCTAGGGAGATCTTGCCCGACTGCGCCAGCTAATGGTGTCGCCGACTAGATAGTGATTGAAATGCGCCCGACGGAGCGATTGAA